TCCCGTTCTAGTTATGTCACAATGTTTGGTTTAATCAATATGTGGATTCATGTTACTATATTATATAAATATTGTTCATTGATACTTTTCATTGCCAAGCAGAATAATAAGGTTGTATTTGCTTTCTTTACATTTTCTTCTGGGGTCAATATTTACCTCTTTCAATCAACCCATGGCTTTCAGTCTGGGAAATTTTCTGGTATTACTTCTTCTTTATTTTCCCTAAATTCTAAGAATTGGTTCATGTTCTGATGTTCCTTTAAAAAATCTTCCTATTTCTCATTTCAGTGAGAAATGTCATCTTTCATTTGTTATCTTAGAGGGAGGCTTTTTCATTGCAGATTTTTAAGAAGTCATGTGCTTTATCTTACTCTCTTTTCCTTTTGCGTCAGTCTCTTATTTTTCAGATTAGAGCCTTTCCTGAAATGTTTGATGATCATTTCCCCATCCATGCACATTTAAAATTGAGGTACTAACAAGCCGACATCACTGTGTTATGTATGGGCAGGGCTTGTCTAGGTTTGAGCTGTTTTCCAGCTGGGGACACTCAGATATCCGTGTCTTTGGTTCTCTTGTTAGGAACCATTAAATTTCTCCAGAGGAAAAATTCTCTTGATTGTCTGACCAATGGCTTTAAGTCTGGCTACTGGCCTTCTGGGAGACAGGGGCTGGAGCCCCAGTGTTGAGTATGTGAACTTGCATGTCGTCCCTTTTTGGCCCTGGTGGCCCTGCCAGCTTCCTTTGCTGTACCTGCTGCCTCTGCCTCTCCTGGCCTCCTGTCCATCTGGTTTAGTTCTCCAGATACTGCTGGAAGGGTCTCCCCTGAGGACGGTCTCCTGTAGACCTTTGGTGGAGCAGTCATGTGCTTCCCCGAGTGAGGCAGAGCAGCAGCAGTGTCGTAATGGCCTCTCACACCGGCTTCAAGTTGGCTCTTCTGTCTTCAGCCCCGTGCCTTGCTGCCGTCCAAGTACTTGGGGCTGGTAGTCTCTGAACCTCTCCTGGATTTTGCTTTGGATTAGTATGGGGCACTTAGGGTTCAGTTTCCTCCAGTTTGTTGAAGCAGTTACCACTCCTTCATCCACTCTGTCTGCCAAAAATTTGTTGGCATTTCTTCTCCAGTGTTCTCTCCTCTCCTCATTGTCTTTGTGGTTGTATATATTTTATTTAGTGGGGTTTTGAAAGGGAGTGTGCCATTTCACTATACATAAATTAATGTCTAGTTTTAGTATCTTTGTTTCTCAAAATTGGGCTCCCAGTCCCCTCCCTTATAAGACTTTGTTGTTGTTTTAATTTTTTTTTTAAGATGTTATTTATTTTAGACAGGGGAAGGGAGGGAGAAAGAGAGGGAGAGAAACATCACTGTGTGGTTGCCTCTTGTGTGCCCCCTACTGGGGACCTGACCTGCAACCCAGGCATGTGCCCTGACTGGGAATTGAACCAGCGACCCTTTGGTTCGCAGGCTGGCACTCAATCCACTGAGCCACACCAGCCAGGGCACTAGCGAGACTTTGATAATATTTTTTGCTTCCAAAGGGGGAATCTGTATATCACACCCATTTGAGAAGCAATGGATTTGGGTGTCTGACATTGTTAAATAGTGATTGCGCTGGTTCATCACCTCTGCTTCTTGCCCTAACTTCATTTGCAGCAAGTGCTAGGAAAGAAGACCCACCTGTTACTCTGTGAGGTTAAGTTTCAGGCATCTGGCTTCAGGCTTAATAATCCCATGCATATCTAGGCATTTCCAGTGGGTAGATGGTAGATGTCAATAGTCACGTGGATAACTTAGTCCTCTGTTCTTCTATAACAGGGGTGTCAAACTCATTTCCACCAGGGCCACATCAGCCCCGCAGTTGCCTGCAAAGGCCGAATGTAACCTTAGGACTGTGGAAATGTAACTACTCCTTAACAGTTAAATGAGAGCTTGGCGCTGCCACTGGGTAGAAACAAGGTGCTGAGCAGGATAAAACAAGGTGGCAGGCCAGTCGGCCCATGGGCCTTGTGTTTGCCACCTGTGGTCTATAAGTTGCTGAGCAAACAATTGGAATATTTTGTATTTAATATTTCAGAATAATATCTCATTCATTATTGAATGAGGGTGTAGAATCCTTCATTAAATTTCTGAAATTTGGATGAAACCACCTGGCCAGGATGTTAGGAAGGAAGGAAACCCGTGCCGAGTTGGCCAGTTGGGTGGGCGTGTCTGCGGGAAGAGCAGTGAGCTGGAGAACCTGGGCTCCTACCTGATTTCTCTTTTCCCGGAGGTGCTTCCCTTTTTTTGCTGGGACAGAAGTAGACCTGACAGGATGATTTTTGTGTTCAAAGAAAGCTGTCATCAGAAGAACTGGAGCGAAAACGGCAAGAGATGATGGAAAACGCCAAGTGGCGGGAAGAAGAGAGACTGAACATCCTTAAGAAGCACGCTAAGGATGACGAACGAGAGCAGCGGCTGGAGAAGCTGGACTCTCGGGACGGGAAGTTTATCCAGTGAGTGCACCTACTTCCTGCCTGACCGCTTTCATGGTCACGGTCCCCAGGATGCAGTCGGGCAGCTGGTCCCTTCATTGTTTCTGTTTCGAACACTGTCCGTTCCCGTGTTTCTGTGTCTGTGCAGAGAGAACATGGAGCTCGGCCTCCAGCCCGTCTTTGGTCCTCCTCCTCCCAGCCCTGGTCAGAGAGGAGGATGTTTTTGATTTGAGGGGAGGAGAAGGGAATCGATATTTTCATTGAATCTCCTGGGCCTTCCTTTTAAATAAGAATTCATGGCCCAGGAAGTGTTTTTCCAATGAGGCTTTGTCTATTTGCGGAAAAAGATAAAATTTCCCTTTGGAACTGGTTTAAAAAATTGAGTTCCAGATGGAGTCACTCAAAAGTCATCTGTCTGGGCTTAAACGAGCTTGTTTCTTCCTTGCAGCTAGCAACCTGTTTCTTCTAATTTTGGTGGACGACCAGTTGACATGTTTGTCACTTACACTCATTTGTCTTCTCTCTCTAGCCGCATGAAGCTGGAGAGCGCATCTTCCTCCTCCCTGGAGGATCGGGTGAAGCGGAATATCTACTCTCTGCAGAGAACCTCAGTAGCTCTGGAGAAGAACTTTATGAGAAGATGAAAACCATTCTGTCTTGCTGATTTTCCTGAATTTTCCAGGGAAGCTGCTGACCCCTTAAACATTCTCTTTATAAGAGTTAAGAGTTCAGGTGACTTCTTCCACAGATGTCAAACCACCACTATTCAAAGTGACTCGCCTCCACTGATTCCTGAAATAGCTACACCTTTGAGAACTAGTGTGATTAGCTTTATGGGACCCTCAGCAACTTTTGCTGGGTGCAGAGTGGATTTTGACTTTTTAATGGGTGGGTACCAGACCATCTAAGTGTGAGCTCTCCTCCTGCCCTGAAAGGTTGCTCCCTGTGGTTGAGATTCTTATGCCACTTCCCTCCCACCTGTGTGAACACACCTATCCCTCCACCTCAGTATATACGAGACCTTTTAGGAACCTCCCTCTCCAGAGTCACTAAAATAGATTGTGTTTAATGAACATTTGTTTGACTTAGTAGCTATGTGACAATAATGTCAGGTTAGGGCAGAGCCAAGGGAGTGACAAAGAATCTAGAAGGGGAAACTATTTAAAAATCCCTAAATGAACTGTTGACCCATTGGTCTGTCTTTCAAACTGTAAAAGTATAATGTGTATAGTATAAACGGTAATTTTTACATGCTTTTTAAAAAAAGTTAGCTTTGGGAGACTATCTTGTGTGGTAAGTGACTTTAATGGAACCACATTGTATCTTGTTATGGAGTAATACAGTAAGGTAGGTCAGCTTTCTTTTTCCCTCTGCAAATCAGGCTAGTTTAGGAGGGGCCTGGGATCACTGATGGGATCTAGGGTATCTGTCCTTTTACACTGGTTAGTCTTGATGTGGGACATGTAGTGATGAAGTCAAATGATTTTATGAGTCAGGACCCAGTTGCCAGTGTGCTCCCTGGCTCGTAAAATAAAATGGGAGCTGTTGATTTCATAGCTTCCCTTTTATCAGGTAGTAATCTTATTACAATAATTCTCCATTTTCTGGATTTGTTTGTTACTGTTTTTTAGGCCGTTATTAAAAAACCTAAAAACTTATGAGACCAGGCTCCTGTCTTCACTCCTTTGCCTTCTCTGTTCTTTTACCACAAGTCCTCATTTGACCCCTGAACTCTTTTTTAGGCATTCTTGACCCACACATTAGCTGGGCTAGTTGCTTCTCTGCTAATTCCTAATTTTGCTTAAAATGTAGTTGGATTTATTTTTTTGCGTGCTTATGATGCCAGACACTGTAATATTTAAAACCCACTGTTTCCCCAGAGACAAAGTAGCATACACTTGTTATTCATTTAATCACCCCATCCTCTTCCCCTAGGCTAGGGTTAATTATGTATTGTATATTACTTGGTAATAAAGGCTACATTTATTTTTGTAGCTGTTTAAAGAGCGACCATGTGCTGAGAACCAAATTTACAGATTTCCACAAAGAACACTCTGACCCATCATTTGGGTTAAATACCTGGAGACCTTTTGTTCAAAAAGAATTATGTTTGCAAAGAGTGGGCAGTTTACTCAAGGATTTCATGAAGTGAGCCAGAGAATAAGACGATTATGCCTCTGCTGTAGGACAGGTGCCTTAAGGTACCAGCAGTCTCTTGACCCTTTGGCTGTGGGCGGTCGGCAGCAGGTGGGTGGGTGCGGAACCCATTCATAAAACCCAGGGTTTCCGGCAGCCTCCTCTCATTGGCCCTAGGGGAAGGGGCGTGCCCCGTGGGTGGAGCATCGCCCTAAACCCAGGGGAGTGGGAAGATCCACGCTTGGGTGGGGCGAGGGGGCGTTCCTTGGTTTTCCCGGCAGGACTTCCTTTTCCCTTGGCTGTGTTCCTCCTCTCTCCCTCGGGGTGGGAATGGTACGTCCCACCCTCTTCACATTTCCCGCCCCTTCTCCCCTCCCAAGCGGTGGTGCTGCCGCCATCTTGGCACGTCAGGTTGCGGGATAGAGCCAAACCCTGGCTTTGGGGGCCCAGAGAGGGATCCTCTTCCGCGGCAGACAGCGAGACCCCCCAGCCCTTCTCCCCTCCTTGCTTGGGCGCGGGGCTTTGAGGCGTGTGTAGGCCGGCTGAGTCCCTGTCAGGCCCGGGGAGGAGGGGCGGGCGGGGTGGCCGCTGCCTCCCCGGGACGGGCGGTACCACCCAGCAGGGAGGAGAGGGCCTGGAGACAGCAAAGTCGCTGCACCGCCCGGGGGGCGGGGTGCAGAGCAGACCGCCGGCTCCCGTGGGGCGGGGTGGAGTGGGCGGAGCGTGGTGAGGACGGAACCACCGGGGTGGGGTGGGGAGGTAACGGGACGGGCGCGACCATGGCGCGGTGAGGGAGCGGGGGTGGGCATCGGTCCCGGGGAGGCCTGGGGCCGCTGGCTTGTGTGCCGTCTCGGCCTCCCCCACTTTCGCCGCCGCCACCCCGGGCATGTCGTCCAACTGCACCAGCACCACGGCGGTGGCGGTGGCGCCGCTGAGCGCCAGCAAGACCAAGACCAAGAAGAAGCATTTCGTGTGCCAGAAAGTGAAGCTATTCCGGGCCAGCGAGCCGATCCTCAGCGTCCTGATGTGGGGGGTGAACCACACGGTAACCAGCTTCCCCGTGCGCTCCCACGCCCCCACCCTCCCGCCTTCGCCCCGTGGGCCCTGCCGGTGACCGCTGCAACCCCACGCCAAGGCACTTGCACGCCCACCCCACCCTTGCACGCCGTCCAGGTTGGATGTGCACTCCGTGCGCGCCACGAGAGGCCTGGTGTCTCCGTGGTGTGCCGTCGCCGCCCCCCTTTTCTCTCGCCCCTCTGGCTTCCTGCGTCTGGTATGCTCGTTTCGGGCCGCCCCTGGAACGCAGAGGAAAGGCCTGGGTGCGATGGAATCGCCTTCATCCCCTCTCCCGCTCTTCTCACCTCACCCTGTTTGTTGCATGTGTTTTTCCCCTTGTCCCTTACAACCCGCTGCCTGCTCACTGTCCGGTTGACAGGGCAAGTGGCATTGGCCAGCTTGACTGTCCCTCTATTTCTGGCCGTTTGGTTGGTGTGGCTGCTCAAAGTTTCCCATCCTCCAGGCCTCCTTACCCCCGACTACGGAAATTCTTCCCGGGTTTCCTTTTTTCTTCTTGAACAAGATGTATCAATTGGAGAAGCTCAGGCTTCCTTGATCCACAGACACTTTACCAGGGTCATCCTGGGGTGGGGAGAAGAGGGAATGTGACCATTTGAGAGAAGGTGAGGCCTGATTAGAAGGATTGTTAATAGTAGAAATGTCTTCCTGTGTTCTCCTGTGGTGTTCATGCCAAAGACTTCGACTCCTCATTTACTTAGCTTTCCCTTGTATAGTCCTGAAGGGTGTGGTAGTGGATGGTGGGTAGGATGAGAGAGGTCCCCTGGATGGTCAGGGTGCTCTGAGATTGTCCAGCAGTCCCTGTCAGGAAGTGGGAGCCCAGCCCAGTGTTTGTGCTGGAGGACTTCGTTTATGTCCTGTTTGTTGAGGGTCTTTCTTCCTCTTCCCACCACTTGCTCCCTGCATTCTGACCATTTCATTGTGATTCCCCACACCGGGAATGAGCAGAGGAAGTAAAAGGACTAGAAACAATCAGCCCCACCAACTAAAAGTTTGGAATGAGGAAGATGAAGCTAATGGCCTGGATTTCCTGTGGCTTTCAGCTCATTAGTCCCCCAGACTTTTCTGAGTCCTTAAAATTACCCTTACGACCAAAGGAGGATGGAGGGTGCCGGGGCCAGTAAGACTTTGCTTTGATGAAGGAATCTTTGGTTGGCGATTGATAAACCATAGGCTGAGTGAGGGTTTTAGATCTTTGTATCTCATACAGAAAAGCACTTGTGTGTGGTGAGGTCTTTGCTGGTTTGTTGGTCTTGGACAAGATACTGTTTTCAGTCCTGGGGTGTGAGGGTCCTGGCCAGGGTGGGCAGTACCACTGGTTTAATGCCCAGATCTCTGGGAGCTGCTTCTGGCCAATCGTCCAGCAGAGTTTGTTCTCTCTGCTTCCTACTGTCTCAGGGGTCATATGACGACATTGCAAGGGAATCTGGGTCACCAAAATGTGAACCCTGTGTCCCTGCCTAGAAGTCAGTCCTTGATTTTGTTCTACTGCCTGCTTCTCATTAGAAAGCATCTTGTCTGTGCAGAGAACTGGTAGAGATCCGAGAGTTAGGGACATTACGGCCAGCCAGAAAGGAGCTTGGGTCCCTTATTTCATACACGCAGAAATGGAGGCCTCCGGTAGAGGATTCGCTTGCCTGTGGTCACACCAGAAGATGCAGCTCATTGTCCGGTACTGTGGACTCTGCTAGCAAGTGGTCATGCTGGAGGGGCAGGTCTCCTTTTCTTGGCCTCCTGTTCCTTGTCCTGTCTCTCAGCCCAGTGCCAGAACAGTTGGGAATTACAGTCTCGTCAGAGAACCTGAATGCATGCACAAGCGTGTGTCCCTGCGCATGCCAGTCCATGGGAGTGTGCCTGGTGCTTGGTTTTCTGATAGGCAGGTAGGCAGTCTGCTCAAATGGGAGCGCCAGGTGAAAGCCTCTGCAGGCAGATGCATGAGGTGTCCGTGGTTCCCGCTCTGTGGGACTAGGCAGCCACCCTCTTTCTTTGCTAACTATAAGGAAGTTGGAAGGCTAGGTGAAAAGGCGTTGGCTGTGAGCAAGGGCCCTGCCTCTGGGCATAGTGAGCAAGAACCTCAGGGGGAAGGCTCTAGGCCTCGCTGCCCTGGACGGCTGAGCTTCAAGAGGTCAGTTAGTCCCAAGTTGTATTGCTGCAACTCAGGCTGCAGTAAGTCCAGTACTTAAAGGTCTCCCCATTTGGGAAATGGAGGCATCTCCCCAGAAGAAGAGTATAAAATGTTGAGATTTTCTAGGGGGTCGTCAGGGCCACATTGTTTTCAGCGGATGGCCTGCCTTTTTGGAGATCACCTTACCTCAGAGGCCTGTGGTTGCCCCGTTTGGCAGCTGGAGGTTTCAGATGTCACTTTTCTTCGATTCTTTCGTTTCTCACCCAGTTAGGTGTTTAGGCCATGATGGTCTGTGGCTGATGGGTGGTGCATGAGATAAGAAGGATGGATATATCTTTATCTGCAGTAAAATTAATTACCCTCACGAAGTGATTGATTTACTTCTAGGTGGGAAAAGTGAGGCCTTCGAGTTCCGTGTGCTCCTGTGAGCGGCTCTGGTGGACAGGGATACAGCCCTGGGCTGACGGACGTGAAGGAAGACTGTGTAGGAGACAGGGAGAAAAGCCAGAAGGCTTCAGATCTGTCAGGGGAGAACTAGCGAAGAGAAGAAACCAGTGTTTTGATGGATGAAAATTGTTCAAAGGGTCTGTAGTTAGGGAAGAGATAGCCTTTGAGAGGGGCGGGGCATGGAGACCAGAAGAGACAGATCCGGCTTGATTACCTGTTGGCCCTTTTAAGAACCAGGAATGGGTGGAGCCTCACCCAGGGGGATCAGAAGGAATAGGAGCCGCTGATGGTTAACTATCTAGGTGTAACCGTTTGGGAAGCTACCAGCCTTGTTCTTCAAAGTGGCTGCACCATTTTATATTTCCACCAGCAGCGTATGGGGGGTTCCGGTTTCCCCATGTCCTTGCCAACACTTTGTTCATTGTCCGTCTTTGTTTATTGTAGCCATCTGAGTGGGTGTGAAATGTTATCTCATTGTGATTTCAACTTGTGTTTCCCTGGTAACCAGTGAAGTCGAACATTTTTCACTTGCTTATTGGCCACTTACATATTTTCATTGGAGAAATGTCTATTAAGATCCTCTGCAAAAAATAAAAAAGACCCGTTGCCCATTTTTAAAAGACATTTTGCATCTTTTAATTGGGTTATTTGCCTTTTTATTATTGAGTTACAAAAGTACTTTATATATTTTGGATACAAGTTCCCTTATCAGATACATGATTTGCAAATATTTTACCCCATTTTGGGGGGTTATCTTTTCACTTCCTTGATGTTTTCTTTTGAAGATGAAGTTTTTAATTTCGATGAAGTCTAACTTCTGTTTTCTTGGCTGGTTTGTCCTTTTGATGTCATATCTAAGAAGGCTTTGCCTAACCCAAGGTCGTGAAGATTTTTTCCTACATTTTCTTCTGGGAAAAAGTCCTGCAGTTTTAGCTCTTACTTTAGGTTTACAATCCATGTTGTTAATTTTTGTGTACAGTGTGAGGAACAGATTCATTCTTAAGTCTGCTCGCTTCTCTCCCACGTTGCACCCTCATTCTGTTCACGCGTTTTCTTTGCTTGGTGCAGACCCAGCATCTCCTTTACCTGCCTTTCTCTCTTGCCCTGCTCCTTTAAGAATCTTTAGTAAATATTTCTGCTCTCGTGAGGCCTTTGGATGAATCTGTCCTTTAGCAGGCCTCCCCACTTCACAGAGAACAGTGTATTCAATAAGAGGAGAGGAAAAACGAAGGCATAAAAAAGGGTGAATTTGTTGGAGGGCCCTTGTGGCTCTCTTGTTCCTGCCTTGCTCTCTCTGGAGTTTCAGGTCTCGTTGAGGTTCCTTGGTCCTGAGAGTACGGTTCCCAATACGTCATGTTTTCTGGTGGTGGCAGGTACCATGTGATTGGCAGTGGTGGCCAGCCCATTGCTGAGTCACCCCTGGAACTCTGGGACATGTCCTGAAGCCTGTAGGTTCAGCTCATGCCTCCTGGGTGACAGTTCCAATGAAGGTCACACAGGGAAGTGGGAGCCTTTGGGCTCAGAAATTCACCAGACTGGAACTGGTGCCTGAATTTTTATCTCCAGTGGGATCAGCATAGAGGGAACTCTCCGCTTTTAAGTTGTTCCTCATGCAGCTTGGTTGACCTCGTTATTCATGCTAATGGCTTGTGTGGTTCATCATGTGGATAACCCAGAAACCATTTCTATGATGTGAGATAAACTGACCATCCTAATATGTTGTACTTGGTGTGACATTCGAATGGATTTGCATTTCCCGCGTGCACTTCTGCTGAAGGTGAGAGAGGCTGGCCCAGAGATGTGACAGACAGTAAAGGAAAGGCACATCTTTCTGACGCATTGCTTTAGCCATGGCCTTTCTTGCTTCAAAACTTACAGTCACTCGCTTCCCTTTGTCTATTGAATAAAGTTTATTCCTCTCTGCCTGGTACTTAAGAGTCTTTACAGCCCTGGCTGGCGTAGCTCAGTGGATTGAGCGCAGGCTGCAAACCAAACCATCGCAGGTTCGATTCCCAGTCAGGGCACATGCCTGGGTTGCAGGCCACGGCCCCCAGCAACCGCACATTGATGTTTCTCTCTCTTTCTCTCTCTCTCTATCTCCCTTCCTTCTCTAAAAGTAAATAAATAAAATCTTAAAAAAAAAAGAGTCTTTACAGTCTGGTATAGCCTCAGTAGCTAACGTTAATCTTATTTCTCGTCCTCTGGACGGTGACCCTTTGGCATGGTCACACCAGCTTTGCTATACCTTTTTGTCTTTACTCTAATGTTGGCCATGCTTCAGTCCCCTTTTTGTAGCCAGCCACCCCTCCATCCAGCGTCTGTTGTGCCACTGCTGTGTGCCAGCCTTGCTAGGGACAAGACAGTGAGGAAGAGAGTCTCCTTTGTAAGGGTTCACAGCCTAGTAGAGAAGTTGAACATGCAGAGGAATAATTATTACCCAAGTGAACATGGTATTTAGAATATAAAGATGCACAGAGGAGTAAGTAATTAACTAAGCCTGGGGAAGACAAGGGAGCTCTTGCAGAGGAGGTGCCATTTAGCCAGATCTCGGATGATTCTCTGAGCTTTATTCCTTTGTTTATTCTTGCTATCACCTGAACTATGATCTTCAGATCTACAGATCTTTGTGTCCCATCAATGGTCTGTAATGCTTATTAGCTTTGCCCTTTTTAATCCTCACTTGATTTTGATTTCAGAACTACCTTATTGTATCACCCATCTGATTTAGTGAAATCCCGGACTTGAACCCGAGAGGACTTCCCATTGCCTGCATAGTTGAGTCCAGATTTATCATATAGTGGGCAAACCTAAGTTCAAATCCAGGCTCTGCCCCTTATTATTAATAATGGTTTTGAGTAGTAATTTTTCTGTCTGAGTTTCATTTTCCTTCTCCATAAAGTGAGCACAACACTGTCCCTAAAGTCTATTAGGCTAGAGGCAAGGCAAGGAAAACACTGCCTTCATCATTTATGCATTCGGTGGTTGATTCTTGTAATAGGTGCACTGACCGGGGATCACACCTGCAGCCTTGAAGTATTGGAACAATGCTCTAACCAACTGCGCTACCTGGCCAGGGCGCTTATGTGACTCTTAAACAGAGAAATAATAGCACAGAACAGAATGTATTTGATATTATGATATATAGTATATAATAATATAAAGCAGTGACCACTTACAGGCAGTCAATAAGTAGAAGCAGCTGTTATTCATTAACTGGTAATATGCTAGACCCTTCGTCTGTATTTCCTATATTAATTTCTCTTCACTTCTTTTTTTTCTCTTTTCAGTTGCAGTTTATACTCAATATTACTTTGTATAAGTTTCAGGTGGACAACATAGTAGTCATATGCTTTACAAAGGGGTTCCCGCGATATTTCCAGTCCCCGCCTGGAACCACACAGTCATTACGATGTTACCGACCGCATTCCCTATGCGATACTTCTCATCCCTGTAACCGTTTTGTGACTACCGATTCGTAGTCCCTCCACTTAGTTCGTCTGCCCCATCCTGCCGCCCTGTAGACCCCCCTCCCCCACTACCCAGAATGGGAATGTACTCTCACAACTCCGAGTCTTGGTCCCGGCTGTTCTCACGGCCTGGGATTCCCTTCCCCTCCTTGTTTGGGAACTAGGCCTTTCTCTGTGACTCCCTCCTGCCACCAGCTCTCACTCCTGCCCGAGTCAGAATCAATCGTTTCTTCATCTGGTTTTCCATTTCCCTTTATTCAAACTCTGTCGCACTCGGGACATTTGGTTATTAGTTGTCTGTCTTCCCAGCTAAACAGAGACATGCCTTTTCATTTGCTGTAGCCCCAGCTTCTGGCACAGTCTTGGCATGTAGTAAGGCCCTCGGTACGGTGACTAGAAGTGAACTGAATAGAAGTTTGGCAGAGTCCGAGTCCGATCAGGAAAAGCCTTGAATGCGAGGGTTAGGAGCTAGAACTTGGCCCTGCGGTTGATGAGGAGCCATGGGAGACTTTACCCAGGGATGTAACGCGATATTGTAGATTCCTCCAGAGTCAAGCGCTCTTGGCAGTAGCCGGAGGGGCATGAGGCGCGCTGTTTCTGGACTGGCGAGTGAGGCTGGGAGTCGGACTCTGACCGCGCCAACCTCACGCCCTCTTCCGAACACCGCCTGTTCTCGACGTCTGCCCCTCTGCTCTCTCCGACTCGTGTACTACGTGATTCCAGCGTCACTGCATCGCGGGTTTGTCTCGGCTCCCTGGTGAGAGGCTAAGCCCCCGACTTCTGTGTGCACTGCGTCGCAGTGCTCCCCCACTGCACGCCCCTCTTCCCTCTCGTGAAGTGAGGCATGTAATAGGTATTTCGGTAAGTGCTCGTTCAGATGAAATTGAATAGCGTTCTCTGGGGATATGAAATTTAGCACAACTAAAAAAAAAAAAGGTACAGCTAAACCTGGAGTGAAGCATCTGCATGTGGTCCAGTGGAAATGGGGGATGAGTCTGCATCGTTCAGGTGTGTGGATTGTTCGCCGGCACGTCCTCCCGGGTAGGCATTTCTTGCCGTTAGGGCGTACAGTCAAGAACAGAGATGAAATGAGGGCTAAAGCCTGGCCGACTTCACAGCCGTTCGGACTGCGCTGCACGGAGTATTACTCAGAGGAGTAACGGACAGAGCGTCCCTGAGCAGCTCCTGTTAGACCGCGTCGTCCTGGCTAAGGGGCAGCGGAGCCCTCGCGAGCCGCTGTTGCAGTCTGTTCTGGTTCTGCAGTGTCGGGTCCTGGCCTTGGCACCGAGCTGGGGTATTAGGCCAACCCAGAATCCATTAGTAGCACATCCCGGAACGTCTTGGTGTAAAACCGTGCTCTTTGAGCCAACGGCACACTCTTTCTAGCGTGATGGGAGCTAGAGAAGACAGAATTGCGTAAGAGCCATGAACTTCTCTAACTCTCGGAGCCAAGCTTCGTATGCCAGGAAAAAGGAAGTGGGACAGCTACCATGAACTGTTTCTGTTGGCAGGAAGGCAGGAAAGCCGGGAAGCGAATGGCTTCCCTCGTAGGCACACACTTCACGAGCAGGTTCCCTTGTGAGCAGCCCCTTGGAGTGGAAACTGGCATGGCGAGCGTGTGTGTGTGTGTGTGTGTGTGTGTGTGTGTGTGTGGTGTCCTTTATCCAGGGGCTGCGGGACCCGGATACTGAAGGCATCACAGGCCCGGACGCTGGAAGTTTTCAGTATATAGTTTGATGAGTTTCCATAAATAGTATCTACCCGTGTGATTAATTCATCACTCCAAATAACGCAGAGAACATTTCCGTCACCCTAGCATTGCACCCCACGTTCCCTTGCACTTAGCTCCCCTCCATCCCAACCCAGGCAGCCTCTCATTGGGTTTCTCTGACCATAGGTTCCTGTCCTAGAATTTCATGTCAATGGACTCACGTGGCATACACCCTTGTGTCCATGCCAGTCCGTTTTCCCCAGCAGCTTAGCACCGAGTCTCTTCCCCAGCTTCCGACGCTAGCCTGCTGCCCCTCCTCCTCCCCACACACCCCCGTGCCCCCCTTCATTTCCCCGTGAGCCAGCTGGGTTTCTCACCAGCTCCAGGAAGGTATGTATCATTCCTCAGCCCAGCTACTGCTGAGGCTTGAACTTCCTCCACCTTCTGATATTTCTGAATCAAAAAGGTTCGGAACATAAAAGAGGCAGCAAATTAAGTGCTATTTCCCCTCATTTATGCTTCTGGAGGAGCCCTAATGACTCTGGGCTACTCCCTCCCTGCCACGTGGGGCCTCGGTGAGATAATGGGGTTTCCAGGGAGAGTGTCTGGGAGACCCAAGGCCGTGCTCTCCCTCCGCCCTGTCCATTAAGGCAGGGCTGAGGTTTCCTCTGTGAATCCTGAATGCATTAGTGGCGACTGTGTCGAGGGTCAAACGTCAAATACTCTGCTGTGATGGGAGAGGACATCTGTGGCTAATTAGCCCACTAATTGGCAAGCTGGGAACGGGGAAGCGCTGGATTTGCCCTCTCAGTTCTGCACCAATGGGAAGGCAGCTCCCTGTCCAGGCTTCAGCTCCCTGAAGGGGGATGAAAGTCAAGGACGTCTGTTTGCAGTGGGGGCATGGCCCCCTACCCCTTCTCCTCCAGGTCAGCGTGAGGCGGGACACAGCTTTAGGAACCGGCTGTGCTTTAATCAGGAGGCTGAGCGTGAGCCAGTGGCCAGATGTCTACCTCCTCTGCTCACTTTAAACTTAACCCCTTTGCTTGGGAGAGAAGAGTTACACACCCAGCCCTTTTCCTGCCCTAAGCTGATTCCTTGAGTGACCCACAGTTTGTATGAAGGTGTTCAAAGGCCTCAGGACTCAGTAGGTTGGGTGACATTTATTCATCAATCCATTTATCATTGCGTTTGACAAATGTTTATGTACGATCTGCTGTGTGCGCCTGTCATGGGGCCAAGCACTGTGGAGCCCCCAGAGATCGATAATACGGCCTTGTCTGGGCTATAGCCCAGTGGGCTTGTGCCGCTTGTGAGACTCAGCGACCGTGAGGGAGGCTGTCGGGTGGCCAAGAGATGGACACACCAGGCACTCTTTTTTTTTTTTTTAAGATTTTATTTATTTATTTTTAGAGAGGGAAGGGAGGGAGATAGAGAGAAACATCAATGTGCAGTTGCTGGGGGTCACGGCCTGCAACCCAGGCATGTACCCTGGCTGGGAATTGAACCTGCGACACTTTGGTTTGCAGCCCGCGCTCAGTCAACTGAGCTATGCCAGCCAGGGCCCAGGCATTCTTAAGACAGGAAAGAACATTTGTGGTCTAGAGTCAATGGAAAGCTTCATGGAGGAGGTGCCTTTTGAGCTGGACCGTATCGGGTGGGGAGAATTTCGGTAGATGGAAATGAGGTTGGGAACTCATTTGAAGAGAAGAGCAGAAATAAGACAAGGGGGAATCCGTAGACTTGTGTTTTGGCGAGGGGTGGCTTCCACATTGCAGCACGCTGTCTCTCGGAGGCCGGAGGCCGAGGCCGGTGGCCTCCTTGCTGAGAACCTCACTTTCCCCTTGCTTTGCAGATCAATGAGTTGAGCAATGTCCCTGTCCCTGTTATGCTAATGCCAGATGACTTCAAAGCATACAGCAAGATCAAGGTGGACAATCATCTCTTCAATAAGTAAGTTGCCTGTGGAGTGGGATTTGTGGGCAGACCCTTCCCTCAGGGCAGAGAGCTTCTGAAACCTTGCGAAAGGAAAGGCACGCCAGCACCTGGAAGGGTGTGACAGCGACACCTGGATCACAGAGCTGAGAACTGGCTGGAGAAATGCGTTCATTATGTGCCTCTCTCCCGGGTTGTCTGGTATCAGCCCGTCTCCGCTGTCCTCAGGGCACGTGGCCCAGCCTGGGGTGATTCATCGAGGGCCAGTGCAGGGAGAGGTGAGCTTCTTGGGAGCGGAGGCGTCTGGCGTGAGGCTGACAGCAGTGGCCCTATCTTGATCTTAGTCTGAGGCAAGAAGCTGCCGGGCACGATCCTGGCCTGGGACGCAGCCAAGCTCTTTCCTCTTCCGCTGGCGTGTGAACCACAGGCTGAGCAAGGTGCCCGAGGTGCCGTCCAAAGTCACTCTTCCCACTTTCGTTCCCTGTGGCTTCTCGGATTGACGCTGGGGTCTGAAGGTTGTCTCCGGCTTCGGTGAAGCAGCCGTCTCACCTGGCACAGTTTGGAGCCCGCCCTAAGCCATGCGGAGGCCTTGATTTTTATCCCACTGTGGGTCACCCCCACAACTGTCTGCTGCTCACACTCTCTTCCTTCTGCCTTTGAATCCTGGTTCCACTCTCCATTGTCCTGCAGTCCCCACCACCTCACCAGCTGCGCTCTGTCACCCCCCTAACCCCAGACTGTTAGCTGGGAGGCGAAGCTTGATTTGAAAATGCCCCTTAGTGACCTCTCTCTGCCATAGTAATGACATTTTATTCGAGAAGCTGTCTTTGTAGCTGATGCTTGCTAAGTGGCCACCTGTACAGAAGGAAAACTCCTGTGTTTTTGCTCTACCCTCGCATGACCGACATTCCGTAGGACACCAGCTGGCTGTCGTGCAATTCAAGTTAGGTCTCACGAATTTAGGACTCGGTCCCACAAGACTGCTGCCTTCCCACTTCAGCTGCCAGTCATACGTCTAGGTTGTCCCCTGTGCTCGTGACCAGCCTGTACAGATTGGAGGTTCCCACAGCCCTCCCCCTTGGATTCAATTCATTTGTTCCACTGGCTCACAGGACACAGGAGAACAGTTTAGTTACTAGATTACTGTTCAGCAGTAAAGGTTACGACTCAAGAACAGCCAGACGGAAGGGATACGTGGGCAAGGTATGGGGAGAGGTTGCGGAGTTTCTATGCTTTCTCCGTGTGCCCCCCTCCACGTGTTCACCAACCTGGAAGCTTCCGAACCCAGGCCTTCTGGATTTTCATGCAGGCTTCATTATGAAGGCATGGTTAATTAAATAGTTGGCCTTTGGTGAAGGATTCAACCTCTAGCCACTCTCCCCTGCCTGAAAATTCCAACCCTGTAGTCCTGGTTGGTTCCCCTGGCAACCGCACTCATCTTAGAGGCTTTCCAGAGTCATCTCGCTAAAATAAATGCGGGTGTGGTTGGAAGGGGCTTCTTATGAATAACAGAAGATACCTGGGTTGCTCTTACCTCTTAAAACATTGCAGTGGTTTGAGGAGCTCTGTGTCAGAAACAGGAATGGAAACCAGATACCATATTTCGCCGTGTATAGTGTGCACTTTTTTGCCCAGATTTTTGAGGGAGAAATAAGGGTGCACATTGTACATGGTTGGTACTAATTCCCTACCTTTATCAATGTTTTTGATTCTTATTTATGCTCATGCGTTAAAATTGTAACTCTAGAAAGCAATAACAATATCTGTATGTAAAATAATTCCCTGGAATATAATAATCGGTTTTCTTTCTAAATATAAATAAGTAAATAGTTGAATTAAGAAATTAAAACAAAAGATTTCTTTTTCCTGAAAGTTCGGGCCAAAGATGTGGGTGTGCATTATAAATGGGAGCACATGATACAAAAGATATGGGTTATACTTTTTAAGAACTATATTTCTTGATTTTTTTTTAAAGGGGAAGGGAGGGAGAAAGAGGAAGAGAAACATCAATGTGTGGTTGCCTCTCGAGCGCCCCCTACTGGGGACCTGGCCTGCAACCCAGTCTTGTGCCCTGACTGGGAATCAAACAGGTGACCCTTTAGTTCGCAGGCTAGCGCTCAGTCCACAGAGCCACACCAGTCGGGGCTGGTTTATACTCCTTATTACCGGTACATCACAGTGTCACACCACCTGAGCAAGGACAGGCAGCCAGCCCTCCACTGGGAGGCAGGAAAGAAGGTGGTTCTGTCCCAAAGGTCAGGGCCCTGGGAATGGGTGTTGTACCACTGCCCATTTTAGGGTCCGTAACCTCTGGTGAAGTTCTGTCGCCTTAAAATCTTGGTCTAAAGCAGAGCATCCAATCTCTTATTTGGTTTTATCTTTCTTTATTCCTTTTGTCCTTCCAGCGACTGTTTATGTGCCAGTTATCAAACTACAGCTCTGTGTACTAGAAGACAGGGGTACAGTAAGGCAGACTAGTCTGCCTTCACGAGAGGCTCCTGCTATTTATACAGTTATTTATTTATTTATTAAGTTCTCCAGGAAGACTTTATTTACAGAAATGGTGGTCGGCCAGTTTGACCCATGAAAGCCACTGCTTTGGATTTCCTTGAAGTCTGTCGTCCTGGAGGAGGCAGAGGGACACATCTCTGAGAGGGAGCTCCCAGGCAGCGTGACCGCTGCCGACAGGGAAGTTTGGGAGGAGGCACCACTTCGGGGATTCTCGCCCCTCCTGGGAGCCGGCGGGGTGGGGACCGGGGCCAGCAGAGAGGCTCCGTGAGAAGATGGGGTCCCAGGCGACTGACTGAGGATCCCGACGCAGAGCTTGCGCCTTCTCCATCCCAGTGGAAGCCAAGGACGCCGCTTCCTGGATATAACCAGGGCGTCTTGATAGGAACATCCCCAGAGGAGAGGGGCTCTTGCAGGAGAGAGGCCTTTTCCTCCAGCAGTCAGACTGACGGTCACTCTGCAGCAGCCGCAGCAAGTGCAGCGCTTGTAGAGTGGGGTCTGCCCTCAGCCTCACCTCCTGGCCCATGAGGTGTTTTCCTTTAATGGAAATTTTAGTGAAAGGTGACATGCACTCCAAAAAAACGTGCACAAATTGTAAGCGTAGAGCTAGATTAATTATTACAAAGTAAACACAAGGTATGTAAAGTTTTTTAGCTTTTACAGGCTCAGAATCCCCTGAAGTGTTTAAAAATGAACCTTTCCAGACTCACGTCCAGAATTTCTGGGGCCTAGAAACTTCCACGTTGAGCACTGCAGACAGACCGTTCGGGTCCCCGTGGCCTGTGGACCGCTCTCGGACAGTTCTGCCGGGAGGACGGAGGTGAGTGTGAGGACGTTCACAGAGACATGTCTCTGCTTTTCCCTAGGGAGAACCTGCCCAGCCGCTTTAAGTTTAAGGAGTACTGCCCCATGGTGTTTCGGAATCTTCGGGAAAGGTTTGGGATTGACGATCAGGATTACCAGGTACCGGCGTCTTTGCGAAACCGGAGGGATCGGGGAGTGGAGTGGGGTCGGGAAGCCACAGGACAAGTGGGGAAAAGCGTCTACTGTTCTTGTGCTGTGTCTTCCCGTCACGTTCCCGTCAGGCCCAGGCGGTCTTTTCTTCCATGCTGGCGGGCCGTGGAGGGGCGAGGGCCTCGGTGCTCCTTACAACGCCTCCCGAGCTCAGGCGGCCGCCCCGGGCGGGAGCAGTGGGAGGGGGAGGGGGGTGCGAGGTGTTTCCCTGCAGTCTGACGTTCCCAGTCCAGGCTGAAGACCCCTCCTCCTCCGTAGTTTGACTTAGGAGAGAGAATTGTTGCCAGCGAGAGATGAGGCCTCTTAAAGCAGATAAGACAGATTAGAAAAGGAAGACTCCAAGGGTAGTGTAATCTCTTGCCAGGTATGAGTACCACCTCCTAAACGTGTCCCCTGTCCTGATGTTGGGAGGGGGCCAGGTATGGCAGGGACGCGGCCCCCTTCGGTGGGTGTTAATGTCGTAGGGGACTTGGTCCTGTCGGGAGGAGTCAGTGCCAGCCTCAGGGGCGCTGGAGTCTGGCGTACAGTCTGTTACTCCCCCACCTCGCACCTTCCCTGGACCTTCTTCCCTCGGCAGGCAGCCTGGTGGTGGAGGTGGGAGAGTCTCCCACCTCCCTGCTGTAGCCGCGAGAAACAGAGCTGACTTCCCATCGCCCGTGGGGGGAGGTGGCGTGTACAGCCTAGTGAAATCCACAGTGCGTGCCCCAGGCTTTTAAAACACTGTAATCCCCCCACCCCACCCCCGGGAAGCCTTCCCCAGAGCAGTTCCCGTGAGCAGACGGGGCGAGCCTCCCCGCAGCCCCTCTCCTCCACTCTGGAAGGCCCCCTGCAAAGATGTGTGTCCCGAAGAGGAGGGTGAGGGGCCGTGTGAGGGGGGCGTGGGCGGTCTGGAACGTCTCAGAGGTACTGGGAGGTCCCGGCGGCCCCCTCTGTCAGGGCCAAATCCTGAATGGATCGTGACCTGCTGGGGGCCTGGGACTTGCTGTAAACTCCTTGCCGGGGCTGCAACCCTGGTAGCCTGCCCAGACCTCCTCCTTCCTCTGCGGCGCCTGCCCCTCCCCTTGGCCATCTGACCGCCCCCCTCGCAGTGTCCGGTTTCTCTGATAGCCCTGTGGGCATGCGGCCCTGCTGAAGACCGAAATCGGGGCAGGGGGGACGGTGTGCAGGGGGGGCTCCGTGCTCTTGCACTGCCCGTGGTCGGGGGAGTCAGAGAAGATTGCCTGGAGATGAGGCGGGGGTGGGGGCGGACCAGACTTCCCGCCGGGCTGGAGGCCTCTGAGTCTTCTGGCAGAGGGGCCGGGCTGGGAGAGGGAGGGCCTCCCTCACGTAGCGTCCTCGGCATTTCCGGACTGGGGACCTCTGTCTTGGGGGCTGCGCTCCCCCTCAGACCTCAGTTTCGTCCATGAAGGTGGTGCTCCCCGTGCGGGGGCATTAGGTAAAGGCTAAGAGTCAGGTCCTAGGTGAGAGGCGAGGAGGAGCTTGGAGAGCAGACGTGTCTGTGAGCGGTTGCCGCCTGTGCTTCCTCGGGGGCATCGGCACATCCCTCTGCTGGGCTCGCACCCTCCCCTCCCTTCCTCCGGGGGCTGCTGATGCCCCCTGATCCCAGCGGGAAGGGGACCTCCAGGGGGAGCGGGACAGAGCCAGAGAAGCTCTTCCAGCTGCCTCGTAGCCCTGCGCTGATGAGCAGGGAGGGAGAGGTGCTGGGCAGGGCGGGGAGGGTTCCCTGGCCCCAGGGTGTGTCCAGGGAAAGGTGACTGTGTCTGTCGCCTCTTTGTGCTGGACTTCTTGACTATTTCTTAAGCTTTGTCTTTGTCACCCCAGGAGGCTGGGAAACCATCTCAGTCTGCCTCCTCGTGTTCCAGGTGAGGCGACTCAGGAGTAGAGGAGTTAGGTGTCTCACCCGAGGGTCCTATCGCATGTGAGTGGCAGGCCTGGGACCCAGTCCCCTGACGTCGGAGGTGGCCGTCTGGGATGGGGATGAGCGGAGCCGTTTCACAGGGACCCTCTTCCCAGCCCAGCCGGGGACTGGGGACAACTGTGGTCACTCTGAAGGAGGACTTCCGGGAGAAATGGGGACTTCCTGTGAGGAAAGGGGTGGGGAAGGTCTCATCTGCCTCAGTGTTGCCGGCCTCAGGGCAGCCTGGCCCGTGGCAGGAGACTCAGCCCGCACGTCAGAGTCCTGTCCCCCTCCCAAGCCCGGCCCGCTTTTGTCTCGGTCCGTCAGAACTCAGTGACGCGCAGCGCCCCCATCAACAGCGACAGCCAGGGCCGGTGTGGCACACGCTTCCTCACCACCTACGACCGGCGCTTTGTCATCAAGACTGTGTCGAGTGAGGATGTGGCCGAGATGCACAACATCTTAAAGAAGTACCACCAGGTATGGTGAGTTCCGAGCCTGGACGGTGGGGGCGGGCGGGACGAGGGAGAAGGGGCCCTGGGGGCGCATCTTGCAGAGAGGTGGGTCCTCTGGTAGTGGCAGACAGCTGATAGAAGCACGGCACCCTCCCCGGAACCGTGTTTCTGGGACGAGAAATGCCCGTTTGAAGCAATTGAAGAGGAGACACGAAGGCATGTTACTGACTCAGTCACAATTGAACAGCTGTTTCTTGCCAGGCTTGGGAAGCGTTCCCCCTCTGCCTCCTGTCTCGTGTCTTCTAAGGAGGCCCCGTCGGCTCGGCGGGGCTCTTTCCCTCCCGTCCCGATGCCCCGCCCGATGCCCCGCTCGATGCCCCGCTTGTCGGAAGCCCGCCCGTGAGGAAAGCGGGGCGTGCAGGGGCATACCTGAGTGCCTGTCCCCAGCCCCCTTGGGTCTCCAGGGACAACAGGCTTCTCTCTGGGGCGCCCGAGAGGTGGGGAGAGGGCCCTTCTGCCCCCTGGGCATTGAAGCAGAAAACCCCGGGGCCGGAGGTGGGCAGCGGCTCTCGGTCTGGAGCCGCGCTGCTTCCCCAGACAGCCAGGTCTCTCTCCGGCCTCTGCAGCCTCTGCAGCCCCTCCGCCTGTGGCTTTCCCATTTCAGGCCACGGGCGCTGCACAGCCTAGATCAGTGACTTTCCTGCAGTGAAATCCCACAGAGATGGCACCACAGGGCTCCGCAGTCTTGCCCAGCCTCTCGCTCTGTTACGCCAGTTGGGGGTGGTGAGGGGGTGGTGACTGCCTATTGTGAGTCTGAGGAACCCCGTGACGTCACAGGACCCGGTCTGGAATCCTGGGCAGGGAGCATTTCCGCCTGGGGGAGCCCCGTCCATGTTGGCACCTTCCTCTGCTCCTTAACCTGCCTTTCTCCCTCCCTCCCTCCGCAGTTCATCGTGGAGTGCCACGGCAACACCCTGTTGCCCCAGTTCCTGGGCATGTACCGCCTGACCGTGGATGGGGTGGAAACCTACATGGTGGTCACCAGGAACGTGTTCAGCCATCGGCTCACTGTGCACCGCAAGTACGACCTCAAGGTAAAAGGCCCTGTTTCCCAGCTGTGTGGCTGCTGTCCCCCTGAGGCTCAGAAGGGCCACGACTCCCGCGGCCACGTAACGGGAAAGCCAGAACGTATGTTTGGCATGGACGGGTGACTCTGGAGTTGCTAGGCCTAATTCTTGTGGGCCAAAGGCTGCTTGAAGTTCAGGCGACAGGTTATTTAAGCCCCCAGTGTGCCATATTTATGTAGCAGTTGACGTTCTTCAAGTCCTGTCAGTGGGACATGCACGGTGAGGGCAGCAGCACGGGACAGGCTGTTCCGACGCGTGTGCTCTGGCCTCTGTCCAGGCCCCACGGACTGACAGCACATGTGCGTTTCCAGACACGGGAAAGAGCACACTTGTGCCCGTGAGCCCCAGCGCTCCGCTGTTCTGGAGCCTCACTTCCTGGCTTCACAGGCACTCACGCCGCCATCCCTGTGTCTGCTGCAGCCGCACCGGTGTCCTGTCCGTCCTGCAGTGTTTGTGCTCTCCTGGTCCCCCAGAGCTCACCCAGGCTGCCAGGCGTTGTTCCCCTTCCTGCGCTTTTCTCCACCTGCACCGTCCCCCCCCCCCCCCCATTGCTTCCTGCTCACCCTTCTGAGCTCGGTCCAAACGTCACTCACTCCAGGAAGCAGGCCTTGGCCAGCGAGCGTCCCTCTCCAGCCCAGGCCTCCCCTCCCAGCTCTCAGAGCTGCCCTGTCTCCTCTCCCGTACCACTTAGCACCACTGTGATTAATGGACTAATTAATTTTGTGACTAGTGCTTAATGCCTGTCTCCCCGGTCAGAAGGAAAGTTCCCCAAGGGCAGGGACCGAGTCTCTGGGCACAGTCTGTTTCCCGAGCACGCACCTTATGCGTAGTCAGAGCTCCGAGAACGGTCTGTGACGGGAAGCGAACCAGTCGCTGCCTCCTGGCCCCTCCAGGGCTCTGACCTGCCTGCCGCAGCTCACCTGCTGCCCTGCCCAGAGACTGGTGCGTGTTGTCTCACCCGGCGGGATCTGCCTCAGCAGGGCTGCTCCTGACGGCTCTTGTCCTTGCAGGGTTCCACTGTTGCCAGAGAAGCGAGCGACAAGGAGAAGGTATGCTGGGGCCGCTGCCGGTCCAGCGTGGGGCGGGCCGCTCGGAAGGCATTCTCTTGTCGGCCACCCGCTCCTTCCTCCCGCACGGCCCCTGGCCCACCCCCAGACGTGCAGTCTGTCAGTGCTCTGTGCCAGCAGGCACCTGCCTGGCCTCCACCCTGGCCTTGGTCTTCAGCCTTTTACCTCTGGCCTCGCGGGATTCTTTGTAGTCCTGGAGGTCGGCGGTGTCCGTGTCAGGCCCAGCGGGAGGGCAGGCTGTGGTCGGGCACGCGCCACACGTTTGCCGCCCCCGCGTGCCCAGAGCCTGGGTCTGCGGCCCCCTGGGCCGAGCTGCTGACCAGGAGCGCTGATCGCCCGTGCTCTGTCTGCGCCACCGTGCCCAGCAGGGCCCCGTGGGGGAGCGAGCTCGGCCGCCCCACTGACGCTGCTCTTGTTCTCCCAGGCCAAGGACTTGCCAACGTTCAAAGACAACGACTTCCTCAACGAAGGGCAGAAGTTGCACGTGGGAGAGGAGAGTAAAAAGAACTTTCTGGAAAAACTGAAACGGGATGTAGAGGTACTTACTAACCTTGCTTTCAACTTAGTTAGTTGAGCAGGACCCCTCTTTTCTGCAGAGCAGGAGCCTCTTCAAGAAAAAACTGGAGTCACTGCTTTCCAAGAGTGGTGGACAGGAGGAGGGGTGGCGATCCGAGCGGCGGGGGTTGGGCGCCTGCGCCCGACGCTGCTGCGGACGAACGTCCCGCGTGGGGACGGTTGGTGTCGGCGTTCCTCACCCGCCACGGCACCTCCTCAGACTCCCCTTCAGGCTTCCTTTCCGGTGGCCCCACGGCGGAGGCCTCCGGCCACCCGAGCGGCAGGAAACCCGCCAGTGAGACCCGCCAGCCTTGCCTCTCACTGGCCCGGTCCTCCACCGACCCCCGCCTTCTGCGGGGGAGCTCCCCTTCTGAAGACGGGGTTCGGTCGGGAAGGTGACAGCTGCACCACCTGATGACTCAGTGTCTCCTTCTGTTTCAGTCCACTGGCAGCCTGCTCGTTAAAACCAAGCCCTGTGAAGTTTTTAAAAATGTTTTCTTTCTCACCCTTTCTAAGTGTCCCAGACTAAAACTCTGCACCCGTTCAATATCAGTGCCCCGTTCCCCCTGCTCCCTGGCCCGGCGGTCACCGTGCTGCCTGTGTCTGTGAAATGGACCCCTCCAGGAGCCTCCCATGAACGGAACCGTGCAGTCTTGGTTCTGTTTGCGTGACTCCTCTCACTTACCATAGTGTCTTGATGGCCCGTCCGTGACGTGGCATGTGTCAGAATGGCCTTCGTCTCTGAGGCTGCGTGGTTCTCTGTGGCATGTGTGCTGACAGCACGAGCGCATTGTGTGGCCCGTTCGTCCACCGGGGGACTCTGGGTGGGTGAGTTAGGGTTATCCAGAGAAACAGAATCAGCGGGGCGTAGACAGGCAGACAGGCAGACAGATCGGTAGATTGACTGACAGATGGATGCATGTGTGTTGTAAGGATTGGCTCACGTGATTACGGAGGCTGACAAGTCTCAGCACCTGCAGTTGGCAGCTCAGAGACCCAGGGGAGCTGGTAGTGCAGTGTCAGTGCGGAGGCCCGCGGGCTCGAGAGCCCCAAGGAGTGGTGGTTTCCATCTGCATCTGAGGAGAGGGGAACCCTGGTGCCCCAGCTCAGAGGCAGGTGGGAAGGGGAAGCTCCCTTCTGCTCACAGGAGGCTCAGCCTTCAGGCCTTCAATTGAGTGGACGAGGCCTGCCCAGATCGGGGAGGGCAATCTGCTCGACTCACTTGACCCATTCAGAGGTTAGTTCATTCATAAGCACCCTCGCGAACACACTCAGTGATACCTGATCGAACGTTTGGGTACCTGGTGGCCCGGTCAAGTGACACATAATAGCATCTCTCTGGAGTTGCTTCATTGTGAATAATTCTGCTGTGAACATGGGTGTTACGAACTTCTTTTTGCTAGGAAGTTTTTCCTCAATCATTTGCTACTACATTTGTGCCTTTATTCTGATGTTCAGTGTGTTCAGTCTTTCTCCTTCCCGTCCTGCTTTTCTCCCCACTGTGTTTCTAAGAAGAATTTATGGCACTTTCCTCAGTTCATTTGTTTTCACATACGGTGTTGCTGGGTGAATGTCCTCAGGTGGGTGGGAGGGGCTGTCTTCTCCGGGATCCCTGCCCCTTGTCCTAGGCCTTGAGGAGGCTGCGTCCAGAGGAACTCGCAGCGATGCCCCCGCCTTTCTGTCTCTGCCGAGAAGAGTCTGCTGATGTCCTGCCACTGGGGCTTCCTGAGCTTTGAGTTGTTTCCCGGGCCTGTGTGTGTAGAGCCTCTCTGGTCCCATTACAATTCCCCTCCCAGTTCCTTAGTCACAGTGGTCAGCTGGGCAGGTTCGCGGTGCCGCAGGCTCCGTTTGTGGCCAAGGCAGAATGCCTGGCATGTGGCTGTGGTGGCTGCTGGCGAGTCCACAGAGGACTCAGACCAGTGCCCCCGGCGTCACCGTTAGCCGGACTGGAATGCCGGCTGGCCACTCCCATCCTGTGTCGTTCCCGCACTGTGTTCTTCTCCAGGTCGTGGAGCCCCAGATCAGCAGACCCGAGATGCCATGCTGCTCACAGCACGCTGTGTAGATGAGAAACCGAGGCTTGTAGAGAGGGGGGCGCCAGTGCAAGGGGAGGACCCCAGCATTCCCCCCTGCACCACACAGCCTCTTTGGCCTTGAGGGGAGAGTTGAGAATGCTGGTTGGCTCTGTCATTCTTACAAAGCGTTTTGTTTTCTTTTTCTCCCCATTTTTATCCTGACGAGTAAAGAAGCTAAATTGTATGGTTTTTCAAATCTTGCCTATTACCCCCAGTTACAAGTACATTTTACCTTGCAACCGAACACACACACACACACACACACACACACACACACACACACACTGAAATACTACCTACCTTTACTTCATGTTATGTACTGGATTTTTTAACTCTATTCTGTGGTATCTAATAATAATTTAAAAAACCCTAGTGCCAGCCTACTGAGTTGGATTTCACATTCACAGTGGCCGGACAGTCATGGTTTGACAGACGCTGCGGCGTCGACCCATCTCTCTGTCCCCTCTCGCAGTGAAGCATTCCTCTGTCTGTCCTCAGACTGGCCGTGGCCTCTCTCGGCCCCAGATCGTGTGGCTGTTCCGCTTCCTGCCATGCTCAGTCCACTTTTCCTCCCACAGCCCCACCCACCTGCCTCCTCCTCGCCTCGCAGGCTCAGTCTCAACCCCTTCCCGCAGGGCGGCCCTCTGGCCCTGCCGTTCCGGGCCCCAAAGCTCACTGCCCCCGTGGGGTGGCTGTCTTCGCCATCAGACGTTGAGCTCAGGGAGGGCAGAGACCCGGACATCATCTCTGACGTGCTTCAGAGTTGGAGAGCGGATCCGAAGGGAACGCGCTTTTCTCCCCTTTCGGGTGCCACGGGGATGTCCTGTGTAACCTCTTCCTCTCTCCCCTTCCCCGTGCCCCCAGTTCCTGGCCCAGCTGAAGATCATGGACTACAGCCTGCTGGTGGGCATCCACGACGTGGACCGGGCCGAGCAGGAGGAGATGGAGGTGGAGGAGCGGGCGGAGGACGAGGAGTGCGAGAACGACGGGGTGGGCGGCAGCCTGCTCTGCTCCTACGGCACCCCCCCCGACAGCCCCGGCAACCTGCTCAGCTTTCCTCGCTTCTTCGGGCCCGGGGAGTTCGACCCCTCTGTCGATGTTTATGCCATGAAAAGCCATGAAAGTAAGTAGGAGGCGATGCTGGCCCTGCCCACCCCCGGCCCACGGTTCAGGTGTCCTGTGGGTGTCTGGGCCGCCATCCCAGTGATTGCTGACGTGGGCCTCTTTCCACGTCCAGGCCCCCGTAGTGAGCCCTCATCAGCGGCTCTGTCTGCTGGCCCCAAGGGCCCCGGGGTCCTTCTCCGTTAGGCCTTTCGTCCCCGTTCCGATCGTCCTGGCTGTTAGGTGCACGGTTCTCTGGTGCGTGGGGCGGGCGGGGTCTTACACATCCTCCCGTATCCCCATGGGGAGCTGTGCGAACCAAGTAAGAGAAGAGCTGTGGAAGCCTCTGAGGACTCCATCAGTCCTTGTTCCCCTCCGATCCACAGTGATGGGGATCAGTCTGGATCTGTTACCTGAAGGGCTGTGGACCCAGCTACTCTCTGCCCTCCCCCCGCTACCTCTTCCTCCTCGCTGCTTCCCCCCCAGGTTCCCCCAAGAAGGAGGTCTACTTCATGGCCATCATCGACATCCTCACGCCGTACGACACGAAGAAGAAAGCCGCACATGCTGCCAAAACAGTGAAACATGGGGTGAGTTCTCCCTGCCCCCGCCGGGCCCCGCGGGTAGGCCCTCGGACTCTCAGGCCCCCTGCTTAAGGGCACTCTCCCTCCCCCTCTCCCGGGACAGGGAACAGGAAGAGCAGGTGGCCTGGTGTTCTCTCTGCCACCTATGTGCCACCCCTGGGCAGTATGCCCAACTTGTCTTTCCCTTCGTCCTCTGGCTCCCGAGACTCCGAGCCCAGTGGCACCTTTCCCCAGGGCTGCTGGGCACGTGGTGCAGCCTGTGGACCTCCGGCGAAGTGATAGCTTTATTCACGTGCCCACACTGCCCCCCAGAGGTCCACTGCTCTGTGGACTTCAAGCTGCTGGTCTCCGGACGGCGGCTCCCTCAGAGATCCAGAGTCTGTCTGCTTCCTCCCCAGCACTTGCCTCTGCTGTAGTGGATTGAGAGTCAGAGGAGGAGCTAGGGCAGTTCCGAGACGTAGCCACCACTCTCAAGGTGGCCTGCCCCGTCTTTGAGGGGTTGTCCTTGGCTCTAGTGCCGGTCCCAAGGCCCCTGAATGCCCAGGCCCCTGCCAGGTGCAGCCCGCCGAGAGCCGAGGAGCTGGACCTGATGGTCAGCCTCTGTGCCTTACAGGCGGGGGCCGAGATCTCGACTGTGAACCCTGAGCAGTACTCCAAACGCTTCAATGAGTTCATGTCCAACATCCTGACGTAGTGACCTTCTACCTTCAGCCAGAGCCAGATGATGAGATATGGGGCCGGGGGTTGGAACGGGCGAGGGTGTGTCTGGGCTGGATGGGAGGGGTAGGGGCCGAGTCGGGGCGGGGAGGGCTCCGGCCGTGAGACTGGACCTGGGACGCTGGGCGAGGCTCCAGGGGGAGGGGGACGTGCTGGGTGCGCTAGTGCTCACAGGGTGTGGCCTCACCTCCCGCTACCTTTGATTTCCACCCCGCCCATTTGACCCGGGTCTCCTTTTTGGTACCTTGTAGCCTTTTAAAATACCTAGGGGCCAGAGGCGACTGCGGGCTTATTTGGGTTTTTCTGAAATTTCATTGCTCCAGGTCTGTTATTTATAATGATGTATGTCATGCCCTCCCCACCCTCCCTACCCCGCCGCGCCCCTGTGTCAGAGGCACCCTGCAGACCCGGCCGAGGGTGCCCTCAGAGCCGAGTGCTCTGATGCCCGAGGAGAGGAGGTCAGACACCTCAGCCCTGTTGTGTTGACTTTTTAATTTCGTGAAGCGTTGTGCACAACTCCCTGCACCTTTCCTCTCGGGTCTCAGCGACCCCTTCCTCCAAACGCTGCCTCCTGCCGGACACTCCAGCTCAGCATCAGTCATCTCGGAGCAGAGTCACAGCTCAGAGGGGAGCGCGCTCACCCTCGTGGGACGGTGCGGGGTGGGGGCTGCTGCCGGGCCCTGGACAGTGGGTTCTCAGAGAACCTCGTGATCATCACTCAAACCCCTGCGCTCTCTTGGCCCCTGGAGTTCCGATGTCGTCTCTTTAAGGCCTGCCTCCCACTTTGTCAAGAAGAACTAGAAAGGACTCTTGTCCTTGAATGGCTTTGTTCCCTTGGAGAAACCCCAGAAGCTGAAGCTGATGAGTATCAAATGAGGACTCGTGGCCCCCATCCATTTCCTTCCCTCTGACCTTCTCCCAGGTGGGCTTGGAGGTGGGCTTTCAGCTGGGGGCACACCTCCAGGCGCCTGGGGTGCTCCTTGCAGATTCCTCTTCGGGCCACCATGTAGGTAACCTGACGCCCTGTGCCTGTACCTGGACGTTATGGCCAGCAGGCAGTGACGCCTCCTACCTTGGAGTACGGCACCCAAGCCTGAGGCTGTTTCTGGATCATTTGAGGATGCGACTCAGGAAATCCAATTTGGAGGTTTGAGGTAGGATCGGACCTGAGCCCAGCCTTGGGGCTGTGTTCCCTCGATGCCCCTCCTAGACTTTGAGCACATCTGCCACACACAGGCTTCGTCTGGAGTGGCTCCCTGCAGCTTCCTTCAGGAGCTCCAGCCACCTGCTGAGCCTGGCTGTCCCGGCCTCAGGATGGGACTGAGGGTCATTGTGCGGTGACATCTGAGCAGTCTGCTCTGGCTGGAGAGAGGACGTCCTGGCGCGGGGGGAGGTACATGACGGTATCTCCTCAACCCCTCACCAGGGACTGGGGGTTTAGGATGATGTGATAAAACCCCACAGATGCAGAGAGTCTGTGGGGGCATTTTAAATGAACGGGTTGGTTTCCTGTGGCTCCCTCCGAGCCTGGCCAAGCTCAGCTTCTGGAGCAGGAACCAGCACAGCACCGTCCCCGTGCCTGACTCGTAGCGTTTTGGTCAGGAAGGGAAGGAGACAGTATTTCTGGCCTCCTGGGGCTGCCGGGACCCTTCTGGAGGAGGCACGTGAAGGGGCCACAGGTAGCTCAGAACGTCAGCAGCGAGACCACGAGGTGACTCGGGGACGGACCTGAAACCGACTGGCTCATGGAGAAAACAAAACTGACTTAGGAAGGGATCATGTAGGAATAATGTTTGGACTTGACTTCCCCACCTTGTAATCAAGAACGAAAATTTGGATCTGCTCATGGGCCCGGCATCTCCGAAGGCTGGCAGGTGTCGCTGGCAGCGCGGCCGCCGCGGCGCCTGCGTTTGGCCTGCCGACCACGGTGCCCCCACGCGGATGAGTAACCCGGGCGGCCCTGTCGGTCAAAGACGAGCTACCCGGCACCCAACTTCTAACTTCGTTCATGTTGAGTTTTGTGTCTTTGTGGGTTTTTTTACACATTGTTTACATTCTGAGAGGTAGCACCCTGTTTCAGATGCTCTTCCGTGTTTCTAACGGTGTTGTTGATCCGGTCAGAATATTTGAGCTGAGGTTTGGTGAATTTAGGGTTTTTTTTAAGGTCTTTGTGCTCTTTTCAAAGCCTTGGGTTTGGCCCTCTTAATTCTTTTGGCATTCAAATGTTTAAAAGCTATTTATCTTGGTTTATACAAGTTTTCTTTCTTTTTTTTTATAATGATGAGATATTATATTTGGTTTGCAGTCTGAATGTAGAGAAAGTGAACTGACCCCCAAGCTTTTGTCCGCCCCCGCTTTCCCCCCCGAATCCCACCATTCCCTTTCTGAGCAGTAGAAGGCATCTGAAGGGAAGTCACTACCCTCAGCCTCACTCTTTGTGGCCGTGAAACTCAGCAGCCTCATAGCACCCTAGCATAACTCTGGGTCCCAAGAACAAAGGTGTAAGAACAGGACGTGGCTGCCTGGGTGAGGTCTGGAGGGGGTGAAGGGCAAGATTCGCCTCCCAGCCCCTCTACTACTACCTAACCAGTCCCGGCTTCTCCCGTCCCGCCCTGTTCTGAGTCTACAGCTAAGAATCTGGTTTCCCAGCCAAAGTGAAGGGTTGTCTGAAAACACTGAGACCACTAGATGAAGGCCTCTGGCCCTGTTCCTGTTCGTGAACCACTGGTCTCACCCTCCCAGTCTGAGCTCCTTCCTTGAGCCCCACTGGGGGCTCAGGGCAGGGCTGGGAAGCCAGCAGCCCCAGGAGCACGGACTGAAGTGCTCCATCTCCTTCTCTTGCTCAGGGGTTACTGGTCTGTGGCAGGTGCCACAAGTCGCCCCTGTGGCTCTTCTCAGTGGCACTCCCTCTGCTCCCACCACAGGCAGCTCTTCCTGCTCCACTCGTTTCTCCCGCCTGTGCTCTAGGTGGTACTCAGGGCCAGGACTACAGACCCCTGCCCCAGAGACCCCCCCTCGCAGCCTGCCAGGGCCTGCCCTGGGGAGGGGGACCAAAGACCCAGGACTTTTCTCAGTAGCCAGTCCCACCCCCCAACGGTCTCTTTACCAGTTCAAGTTGGGAGAGAAGAAACGTCACCTCTCCCGTGTCGGGGCTGCTCGTGTGCACGGGGCCCAAGTGTTCAGACGACGCTTGGAGCCCTGGCCTTAGGCCCGCGGATCCGAGTCCAGGGACCTCACCTTTCTGGCCGAAATGTGTGGAGGGGGAGTCCACTCAGCGCAGGAATGAAAGGGAAAACTTTCGGATAAGTGTCCCCAGATGTACCGGCTGCCTGCAGGGGGCAGTGACATGGCCCAGCCTCCCCCTGAGATGTGCCCCTTAGGAGGACCGCCTCTGAAGGGCGCGGGGACCCTCTGGAGGCTGGAGGGGAGTCTTCCAGAGGAGCCCCTTCTCCGTGCTCAGAGCCAGTTCGTGAGGAGGTGGAAACTGACAACTCTGGGGACGGCCTGGTGCCACTCAGCACACCCAGCACCAGGTCAGACCACGCTAATAAAAAATGTGAATTAAGTATAGATTCAGTTTTGGGGGGGGAGCAGGAAAAACGATCACCCCACCATATGTGTGTGACTTCTCCATCTCCCACTGCGATTTCCATTTTTTAAATAGGAGTTTTCACCCTCCCTGTGCTTGTCTGATGTCTCCTCGGAGCAGTGTGAGACCCTGTTACTGTTTTAAAATGCATGCGTGTTAAGATGAATCTCCAACCCGAGGAAAATAAAACTCAAAAAACTTTGTGTACACATCTGCTATGTGAGAGTCCTTTGGAAATGAGCTGCTTGTTTTTTGTTTTCAAAATTAAGAGGTTCTGGTCCCAGCAGCAGAGGCTGCTGGGGCTAAATCAACACATGGCTGGCATTTGGAGAAAGGCCTGACTCTGGCCGCCCACTTGCAGGTGTGGTTGACACACTTGGTTAAGAGCAAGGCCCCGGGGCTGCTTTGTTAGTGGTGTTACTGTGCAGGCCGAGGACCTCGGTTTGCCCCTCACACACCTGACACAGAGCTGTGACACCGACTCGGGACGAGGCACCTCTGTGCACCTCAGATCCTGTCTAGACTCTTAGCTTAAAACCTAATGGTTCTCAAAGTGGGGTCCTAGGCCCGCGGGACCAGCAGCACCCGGGAACCAGAAATAGAAACCGTCAGGTCCCTCCGCAGGTCTGAACCAGAGACTGTTTGAACAAGCCTCCCAGGTGATCAGGGCTAAAGTCTGGGAACCACTGTGCCACACAGACTTGCTTATTAGGGCACCTACTGTATGTAGGTTGCAAGGTAGACTCACCTGGGGAACTTCTAGAAAAGAAAGGTACTCGGGCCCCTTTATGAGGGCAATTAAATAATCTTGAGGACTTACGGCCAAGATGGAGGCGTAGTTAGACACACTGTGCCTCCTCACATAACCAAAAAGACAACAACAATTTAAAAACAAAAAACAACCAGTACTGACAGAAAACTGAACTGTATGGAAGTCTGACAACCAAGGAGTTAAGGTGGACACACCCATTCATCCAGACTGGTAGGAGGGGCAGCGAGGGGTCATGGCAGGGTGGTAGACCCAGCAAGGCGGCGGACTGTGGAGGGGTGCAGTGCGCAAGGCAGCTGGCGGACCAGGTGGCCCCACACTCTCGAGCAGTTAAACCAGGTGAAACTGGGGAGCAAGACAGACCACACAACCCAGGGCTCCAGTGCTGGGAACTAAAGCTTCAAAACACCGACTGAAAACACCTGTAGGGGTTGAGGTGCCGGGAGAGACTCCCAGCCTCACAGGAGAGTTCGTTGGAGAGACCTACAGGGTCCCAGGACGCACACAAGCCCACCCACCTGGGAATCAGCACCAGAAGGGCCCAGTTTGCTCGTAGGAAGTAGGCGAAGTGACTGCAATCCAGCAGAGAGCAGAGCAATCAGCACTGTTCCCTCTTAGACTCCTGACCCACATACAGTGTCACAACCCAGCCACGTGGGTTGCCCTGCCCTGGTGAACACCTAAGGTGCCATCCCTCATACTAACAGATGTGTCCAGACAAAAAAAAAAAGAAGTCCTAAAAGGAACAGATCAAAGCTCCAGAAAAAATACAACTAAGTGACAAAGAGATAGCCATCCTATCAGATGCACAGTTCAAAACACTGGTAATCAGGATGCTCACAGAATTGGTTGAATCTGGTCACAAATTAGATGGAAAAATGAAGGCTACGCTAAGTGAAATATAGGAAAATGTACAGGGAACCAATAATGATGGGAAGGAAACTGGGACTCAAATCAATGGAGTGGACCAGAAGGAAGAAAGAAACATCAATCAGAAAAGAATTAAGAAACAAGAATTCAAAAAAATGAGGAGAGGCTTAGGAACCTCCAAGATATCTTTAAATGTTCCAACATCTGAATTATAGGGATACCAGAAGGAGAAAAGGAAGAGCAACAAGTGGAAAAGTTATTTGAACAAATCATAAAGGAGAGCTTCCCCATTCTGGCCAAGGAAATAGATTTCCAGGAAGTCCAGGAAGCTCAGAGAGTCCCAAAGAAGTTGGACCCAAGGAGGAACACACCAAGCCACATCATAATTACATTACCCAAGATTAAAGATAAGAGAATCTTAAAAGCAGCAAGACAGAGTGAGTTACCTACAAAGGAGTTCCCATAAGACTGTCAGCTGATTTCTCAAAAGAGACCTTGCAGGCAAGAAGGGGCTGGAAAGAAGTATTCCAAATCATGAAAGGCAAGAACCTACATCCAAGATTGCTCTATCCAGCAAAACTTTCATTTAGAATGGAAGGGCAGATAAAGTGCTCCTCAGATAAAGTCAAGTTAAAGGAGTTCATCATCACCAAGCCCTTATTACAGGAAATGTTAAAGGGACTTATCTAGGAAAAAGATGATAAAAAAACATGTACAGTGAAATGACAGCAAACTCACAATAATTGGCAACTGCACCTAAAATAAAAAAAATGCTCTAAGCAAATAACTAGAACAGGAACAGAACCACAGAAATGAAGATCACATGGAGGGTTAGCAACAGGGGTGTGGGAGGAGAGACGGGGAAAAGGTACAGAGAATAAGTAGCATAGATGGTAGGTAGAAAATAGACAGGGGGAGGGTAAGAATAGTATGGGAAATGCAGAAGCTAAAGAACTTATAAGTATGACCCATAGACATGAACTAAAGTGGGGGAATGTGGGTGGGAGAGGGTGTGCAGGGTGGAGGGGAGTGAAGGGGGGGAAATGAGACAACTAATAGCACAATCAATAAAATGCATTAAAAAAAAAAAAGAACCTTGAGGGCTGGGATCCCTGTCATCTGTTTTAGAAGCTCTCCAGGTGACTAACGTGCAGCCAGGGTTAAGAGACACTGATCGACAGGATGTTACTTGGGGGTGCCTGGCCAGAGCACTACCTGCAACAGTGAAAGAGGACTTGCAGGGTTTCCAGGAGGCGTGAGTAAAGAGGGTTCTGGACTTTAAAGCCAAATGGCACATGGGTTTACGTCTGCGCTTGCCACTAGTTAAGGTGATCCTGAGCAAGTTATTTAACTGCCCTTAGATGAGGGTGACGTCAGCTACCTTAAGTCACTGTGACTGAGTTCCAGAATGTGCAAGGCACTCTGTGCCGGCAGGGCCTCGTGCACAGCAGGCACTCAACGAGGGACGTGAGACATCGTCCCCACCCATGTGCCGGGGGACACGCTGCCAGCCGGAACACCCCAGGGCTGCACTGTACCCGGAGGAGCTGCCTGTAACCACCCAGATCGGGACAGGGAGCTGTGGAGAAGGACTCAAGCAGGAATGAAAGAACAACTATTTTACTTAAAAAACAAAAACAAACAGAAACGTGGGCTCTGGGAACAGGGTCAGTCCATTCGGGCCTTCAGTGTCCTGGTGGTGATTTTGTCCTTCTCGCTGCAGAGGGAAAAGAACACGAAACATCGAGACTGCGGGACGAGTGGCTGCCCTAACCGGGTCTGCCTGTCCCGCTCACGAGTGTTAATGTTCGCTCGTGTCCTCAGCCTGAAGGGCGGAGGGGGGAATGGAGAAACGGGGCGACTCTGGTGAGAGCCGAGATGGTCCGGGGCAGCCTGGGACGCCCTCCGAAGGGGAGGAGCTCCCCCAGGCCCGGAGAACAAGAGGCTCGGGAAGGCCATGGGACGGGGTTCACCCCAGGAACATAAACGAATCTTGGGGCCATAAATTCTGTCAGTCCCAGTCGTTTTCCTGGGAGTTAAGCAGGCGGTCCCACAACAAGAGGGTCCCAGTGCTCATGCTGGGAGGTGCCGGAGGAGAGCGGCGGGAGACCACCTGTCTCGTCCCGCCAGGGTGCTGGGGACAGCCCCGAGCAGGTAGGAGGGCAAAGGGGATGGCCGTGAGAGAACAGGAGGAAGACAGATCACTGGGAAACAGCTCCCAGAGCCCAGTGCTTCCAGCGTGTGGGCTCCACACGAGGGGGAGTCGGGTCAGAGGAAAGGGGTCTTCCAGTTTTTTCATCAGCCCACAGTAGGCGCATCACCACACAGACCCCTGAGACTCCGGGGACCCTAAAGGACCTTTTCGGTCTACTGTGAACAAGGGGCGAGACCCAGGGTCACGGGGCAGGGGGCCTCACGTGACAGAGGCCAGGGGACTCCGGGCAGGCTCTCAGCCGCCCGCCTCAGGGAAGTGTGGATTTCTGTCCTGTTTCTGCCACAGAAGCCTCATCTCACACCTGACGGGGGCTGGGAAGAGGGGGTGTTCGTGCGGGAGGGGGCGTCTGCCAAGCTCACACTCACATGACGTGGACGATGACGCCCATGCCGGACACGGCGTCCCGGTCCACCGCGTTCAGCATGGCTTGTGAGATGGTTTCGAACAGGTGGTCTGGATCCTGCAACAGAGCAGCAGCCTCAGGCCCCACCCCTGGCCTCGGACTTGGGCTGGCTCCTCAAGTCTCTTTTTTTTCTAGGCTCGAGGACCCCGGCTGGGGCCCCTCCTGTGCCCAAAGTTAAAAGGCCCCTCGGCTCCTTCTGAGAAGGAAGCCGGGTTATGTAAGGGAGAGTTCAGCCCTGCACTTCCTCCACCAGTCCGCAGTGTGACCTTGGGCCCGTCTTCCGTCCCTTCACTAGGCCTCAGTTCCTCTCCTGTAAAACGGACAGAAGGCTCCTTACCTGGCCCCCACGTCGGCTGTCTGATGGACTCGCCCCCCGGGTGTCACACTGCCCTTCAAAACCCAACCTGCCCAGCCACGACAACGCACTTCCACCCGGACCGTCCCGTCTTCATTCTCTCTCCATTGGTTTAGCCACAAAACTCAGGAGTCCTCAGTGTCTCCACCTCCCTCACTGCCTCTGCTCCCAAGGACCAGGTCTTCCAGACTCTCGCTGCCCCGCCCTCCCACTGAAGCCGTCTTGGCTCAGGACCTCAGCGCCTCCTGTCGGTGACCACAGAGCCTGTCCCATCTACTGCCAGCCTTTGGTTCCCTCGGGTTCCTTCCTGCCTTTGGCACCACGCCAAAAGAAGAAGTTCAAACTCGGCTCAGCACCAGGGCCCTTTGGAGTCGCATCCCGACCTCACTGGGGGTCGTCACCTCCCCCGAAGTCCCCCCCACACTCCAGCAGCCCCAGCACTGCTTCCCAGTCTCTGAACACGCTGGGCCCCACCTGCACCTTTGCACAGGCTGTTCCTGCCGCCAGCCACGCCCCTTCTTCCTTCCTCTGCCTCCTCCCAGCAAACTGCATTTTCACAGGTATTTGGGCGTCTGCAGCGAGCCCTGCAGACAGACAGCGCCTGACAGCTGGCACGGCAGACGAGCCTCACTGTCGGGCACCGCTCCAACCTTTCCACGTGTCCTCCTCACACCTTCGTTTACGTCAGGTGGGTTCTATCAGTGCCCCCATTTTACAGCCGAGGGAATGGGGGCAGAGGAGTAAATCGACTTACCCCAGAACATAACTGAGTGGGTGGAGCCGGTTTCCCAGCCCAGACAACCTGGCTCCAGAGCCCATTCTGCTAAGCTGCCTCTGACCCTATGCTTCACACCTTGTTAAATGTTCGTTAAATGAATCAGTGTGAAACCCAGCTTGAGGAGTTATTTGTTGTAGCACGTAACTGACTGGAGCCCCCCAACAGAAGAGCTCTCCCCCGGAGCCAGCCAGCCTACCCCAAGGCCCTGGCGGTGGAGTTTCTCGCTCGGAGCTGTGGCTTCCTCTCCCACCTGCACCCTTCTCCCCACTGCCGGCAAGGCGAACACATCCTTCCCTGATGGCCAAGGAGGGAAGGCCAGCCCCTCAGAGCCCGGCCCACTCCGTGCAACCAACTCACCATGTCAGGCTCCCAGAGGGACTCACACATCCCGTACATTTGTTCCGCGCAGGTGCCACTGACCACAAAGTCGTCAGTCACCATGGGGCAGCCAATGAGGTCTAGAGAGCAAATGAAGGGCTTAAAGGTCTTCGGGTCCAACCCGGCAATGACTGGTTCGGTGTAGTAGGGGCCAAACCTGGGGACCAGGGGCAGAGAGAAACCAGAACTTGAGAACACGCGCTTTCCTGTTCAGGCCCATCCAGACCTGGGGCGGGAGACGGACAGCCTGTTTGGGAAGACCCCCTTGCCCTGTGGCCAGCTCTGATGAACTTGTTCCCCCTCTCCTGGCACCTGGGAATGCCCTAAGATTTCCGTTCTTTTCCCTCTGACACGTACCTTCTATCCTTTTCACCCCTGACCCTCTCTTCCTTACATAATCTTCCCTACCCTAATCCCGGTCCTAGCACCATTCAATCCTCTGTTTACACATCTGTACCTCCATTCCTTTCAAAAAAGGATTTGAAGCAGTTTATAAGGATAAACAGCTGAGGACAGTAACTTATACCTAACAATACTAAAAAAGGCAGTAATACGCTCCAGGTAGCAAAAAAACTTAGCTTAGAAAGCTAAAGAGTACTCATGCAACTTTTTCTTATTCCCAAATCATAAGTTTAAAAAAGAGAGAGAAAAAAAAAAAAAACTAAAAAGGAAAAAGCTCAACTTGTATCCCCGCCGCCCAGGTTTGCCCAGAGGTGGGCGGGAAAGGACTACGGGGTCCTCCCCCCCTTCAAGCCCACCCCAGCTTCTGCAGTGAGTTCCACAGTCAGGCCCCTTCTGCTGTCCTCACGGAGTCCTTCAAGAGAAGGGACCAAAATCAGCACCCCGCCCCCCAGGCTCCCTGCTGCTCCAGAGAGTCTGTCACAGAATTAGCTTTGGAGTTGAGGGTGGCTCCTGCTGGGAGGCAGCAGGGTGCTCTGGCGGTGGTTAATTCTGTTGCCTCGAAGCAAGTTTACTTGCTGTTTGCATTCCCTGCCTTCTGAAGTAGCCTTTTCTTCCCCATGTGGTGGTCAGGCCCTCTGAAAACTAGTCCTCTCAAGTACTATATTTTAGTCAACATGTTCGCAATAAAGATACTGTCTTGCAAATAATGGGAGAATGAGGAGGGATCCTCTTCCTGGGCACTGCTCCATACTACATGCCCACTTGGCCAATCAAAGGGTTCTGATTCTCCAAGTCCCAGGCTATGCAGGAAACCCTTACTTAACATTGTAGACAGGTTCTGTGACTTTAGGTGAAATGACGTATAACGTAGCTAATTGTACCACAGATTAACCGAGGTAAGTTCCTATGGCATCTCATCCCCGTTACAAAACCACGCTAAACAGAACCCTATTCCAGGACCCACTGTGCTCCCGCTCACCGCTTCTCATACAGAAGGTTGGCCACCATACTCATGAGGGTGTAAGGCTTGATCGGCCGACCCTCCTTCAGCTCATACAGGTTCAGTCGGAACTTGAGGCGCTGGGCACTGTGGGACGAAGAGGAAAATTAGTAAGTCACTGCAGACTATCCCCTGGTGTCCAAACTGTGGAGGTTAGGGGTCAGGGGGTCCGCAAGAAGACAGGCAATCATAGCCCTTGGCGAGACTCCTCGCGTCCCCTCCCAGTAATTGTCTCACCAGAATTCCGACCTCGAGTCCAAGTTTCAGGACTTGTCCAACATTTAACCCCTGCAAACACACCACTGTCCTAACCTTTTCCCATACTTTTAAAAAAGATTTTATTTATTTATTTTTAGAGAGAGGGGAAAGGAGGGAGAGAAACATCAATGTGTGGTTGTGTCTCATGCACCCCGCACTGGGGACCTGGCCTGCAACCCAGGCATGTGCCCTGACTGGGAATCGAACCGGTGACCCTTCTGTTTGCAGGTCAGCACTCAATTCACTGAGCCACACCAGCCAGGGCTCCCATACATTTTGAGGGGAGATTTTCACCCTCTTTTTTTGAGGAATAACTAATATACAATAAGATGCACAGCTCCTTCCTCCAACAACCGTGGCAGGAGTATGCTGCAGACCTGGCCACGGCAGCTTCCAGCAGAAAGGGCGGTGGGCTGAGAGAGCTGACCTGTGCTGAGCCTTCTTCCTCTGACCTAATTTCTCCATCCATGAGATGAGGGAAAAATAAATCACCTGGTGGTGAGATCATATATGGGCATATAACAAGGTGCTTGGAAAAATGCAAAGTCTTACATGTCTTAAGCAGCAGCTACTGCACTAAGGGACTGGAGGTGCCTAAGAAAAATAGCCACGACTCCTCCAGTGCCATCTGAGAGCCCAAGGACAGGGCCCTGCAGGGAACAGACTAGTGCCACACCTGCCAGAAGCAAAGCAAACAGTCACAGGCCCCCAGAACAGAGAGCCTCAGACGTGACTTTAGTTGTACCTTAAAAGTAAGGAAGTGAAGCCCTAGCAAAATTAGCAATTACTGCCCACAAGCAAGCAAACACGGTGAGAAAAACCTCCTGGGGAAAAGGACATGGTGAGAGGAGAACAGCAGTGCCTGGAGAGGGGAAGGGTTAGGGGGCCTTCACGCTGACTGGAACTCTCCACTACCAGTCTCCGATTCCACTGGAACTGACAGGAGATGGCTGGATGAGTGAGATTCTAGAGATCACTTCCAATGTGTATGTTCTTGAGACGTAGGGAGTTTTAAGGGAAATAAGAGAAATTTTCTGCCTAGCTTCCACCCACATTAACGGACTGGTCTCTCGATCTTCTAGAAACAAAGTCCAGGAACTGCTGCTCCTCAGGCCACCATCTTCCTGAAGGGCCTGTCCTTACCTGTGACCGTACCTCCCCTCTTGAAACTCTACCTTGATTCTTTTCCTCTGGCTTCTCTCCTTGCCCCACTGCTAATTACACGGTTCGGCTCCTGAACTAGAGCGTATTTCCCCCTCTCTGTCGTCTCTCTAGAATCTGCTCCCAGAGGTTCAACAGTTCACCAGTGCCCCTCCAGCCCCAAGAGATGATTTCATACCTCAACTGCTCACAAGATGTTTCTACCTGGTGTGTCTCGTCCCCTCAAAATTAGTGTCAAACTCAAAGTCATCGCCTCCCTGTAAAACTAGTCCTCTCAGTTACTATATTTTAGTCAACATGTTCAAAACGGAAATCATCTTTAAACCATTTACCTACATGCCAGGTTACTAGTCTAGACACTAGTAACAGCTAAAAGACACGAACTCCAACCTCAATGAATGATTCTTTGGACTCACAATGTCCAAGTAGCCACCAAGGCTGGCCAGCTACAACTGTCAGAAATGACTTCCTTTGCTTTCCCCATCACCACCACCCCATTAGGACCCAAACCCCTCACACCTGGACCATCCCAATAGCTACCTATTTAATTTCCCAGACCCTCCCTTGTCTCAAATCACAGGACAATTGCTGACCTAGGTAACTGATGTAGCAGTTAATAACCAGCAGCTCACCATGGGTCTGTTATCTTTCTGTACGCCTGCCTTGTCTCCCACTAGACCTTAGTTCTCCAGAGACTGAGCGCAGGCTTTGGCCTCAGAGAGGTCTGTGTGGGATCCTGGCTCATGTTCATTAGCTTGCATCTTGGGCAAGACCCTCGGTTGCCTGATCTGCAACACAACACAGCACCACGGTAATGTCTAATGTCGTTAGGAGGATTCAATGAGTCCGTGCAGGTAAGGGGCTTTCCACGGAGTCTGACACAGAGTAAATACTGGTGTTAAGGTGGCTAGGCTACAACTCTGTCTCGCTTACGAAACCTTTGCCAGGGTGTCCGGCAAAGATTCAAATTCACCGAAGCCGTTTGGTAGACTACTGACAGTCGGGCCACTCAAGACGCCAGGCAAGGCTTGTCCAAGAGGCCTGGGTGTGGGCGGGGATCCCCGACACTTACACGGTCTGAACGTCGGTGGCTAGCCCGGCCAGGCCGATGTACAGCCGGTCGCCCATGGGAAAGATCTTCTGAAAATCTGTGGTCACCATCTGGGCCTGGATTCCGAAGCGTCTGTCGGCAGCGATGGCGACACAGTCCTTCCCCTTCATGGCCATGACGGCCCCTCCATTATAGGACATGATAGACTAGAACAGACAGAGTGGAGGGGCTCAGCGCGAGGGGTCAAAGGCGGCCATAGCCCCTGGCCCAACCCCTGATCCAGAGGCTCCTGTACACACCATCCTCCACTCTGGAGGCGCCTGGACGCCCCGAATTCCAGTTCTGAGATCAGTCCTACTGGGGCTGCGAGGAGCCGCATTCACCCACCATGATCCTCACCCGGGTGCGCGCCCCTTCAAACCGGAGCCGCTTCCTTCAGTCGACCACCAGGCCTCTTCCCCCTCTCAAACTTCCCATGACCCCTTCTCAGTTCCTCAATCCCACTCCGAGTTCCTTCTCCTCGAGCCCCATCTCACCATGATTGCAGTGTGGTAGGAACTCCAATCGCCACAATTCCAGCAAACCCGCTATGAACCTTACGGCGCAACCACCCTCACTGTTTTCTCTCTATTGGCTGAAAGGCCGACCTTTCCGGGATATTTTGGCTTCCTATTGGCTAGGTACCCCTGTCAATCACTAGCACGGAATGTTTGATTGAGAGGCCAAAACGAAGGCTGGAAAGCCGAAAGTGAAAAGTCACCGTGAGTGCGGAAGGACCTGTCGTCGCGATGCATGCTGGGATCTCGGAGGACCTAGTCTCTGGACCTGGAAGATCAGGGGCCGGACCTGCGTGCACTTGGTCTATGGAAGCCCGAGATACCGCACTGCCGCCCCAGCGGAAGGGTTGCGCTGTTGCGGTGTTGCCTATCAACACGTTGAATAGGGTCGCGCTTATTACCCATGCTAGCTTGTTTCATTTCTTCCAGAAATCCTTACAGCTGTTGTGTACCGGGCACTGTGCTAGGCTCTGGGCATTAGCCGGCCTAGAACGGCGCCTGGTATTTAGTCGGCGCCCGTTAAGTGCATATTTAATAACACGAAGGGGAGGGGCGGGAGGAGGGTATTCTGTGGCTGCAGGGGTTCAGCTGCAAAGGGGAAGTTTGGAGGCCCAAAATTGTTCGGCTTTGGGGGACTCTCAGCAGGTCCGTTTCACGGTATCCCCAAGTCTGAGCTCACTCTGAAAAATGGACGTTCCGAGATTTCCCTTATCTAAGACCCAGAGAAAGCCGGCGCCGACCCCTCCAGAGCCAATGGAGGAGAGGTGTGCATGTCCTGCCACTTTCCCTCCCTGGATCTGGATCCTTCCCTTTCTCCCCGGCTCCGATTTCTTTTGCCCTATTGCAGAGTTTCTGTTCCGGCTTCCGCTTCGTCGCATGCTCATTATCATTGACTTCGCTCACCGCCACCAAGCCAGTTATCGCAGTCTCTGTGGCGCAATCGGTTAGCGCGTTCGGCTGTTAACCGAAAGGTTGGTGGTTCGAGCCCACCCAGGGACGCTACCTTTTTCCTCTTACACATAATTCTTCCAACTGCTGGAAAGCCCAATTTAGTGTTCGAATGGCAGAGAAACCCCTTTTCTGTAGCAAATCGGAGGGTCGTTGTGATAGAAAATTTGTTATTTAGTCAATGATGGGATGATGGGATAATGTTTTTCGCACCTTCTCCACCGCTCCGCCTCCAATCTGGATCGCAGGAGAAACAGCCAGAGGTTTCTGCCTCGCTGTGCAGTACGTTTCAGGTTGCGTTTTTTCGTAGGATTAAGAATGAATTTGCGGTGGAGGTGGACAGTTTTTCATTGTCGGCCTCAATCGATGTTACAACGCGAGAGACAAAGGCAGAAACAAACTGAGGGATGAAGAGAAAGGTGAGAAAGGGAGATCATAGCTGCGACGTACAGAGACAGGAAGAGGGAATATGACCGAAGAAATGGGCGAGGTGAGTTGAAGGAAGCCCGGGAGGAAATGGAGAGAGGGAAAAGAGAAGCAGTTAACAGCAGGCATTAGCAAAAGGAAAAGAACAACAACAAAACAACTTTTTCTAGAAATACACACACAAGTGAGGAGGATTGGGAAATAGAAGCAGAAACTGACAATGGACATTGTTTTGCTGAAGTAAGGGACAGAGGTAAAGACAGTCATTACAATCGTTAGAGGAGCCGCCGCCCTCTGCTACCATTGTCCTCCTCTTCAAGGGGATCTGATCCTGGCAGTAGCTGTTGCTATGTGCTGGAAATAATTACCTAGATTTTTCCGGTTCCTCCCCTCTAGGAGTTTCTAGTCTGTGACAGACACAATGACTCTTCTGATGAATAGCTGTCAAGTAGAGGATCACCTGAGAGACAAGGCATTGGCACCTAAGGTCTGCCAGAGGCAGAGTTGCTGGGACGGTGTGGGTTGGAGCCTCCACTTTTATGAAAGAGCTAAGCAAAAGACTCTCTCAAACAACACTGTTTGCTATCTGGTCGCTTCTCTAGACTGGACTCAAAAGAGGCCTCTTCCAAAAGCCCCACCCAGTGTTCACCCATCCCTACCTGGCTCTCTCAGGCTCGTGGGGGCAATTGGAGGGTACACAGTGCCACAGAAGCTAGCGGGATAGGCTGTATAACCCTCCAGATTTGTCCCCATTGGTCTGTGAGTGCCCTGCGGGGAAAAGCCGAGCTCATCAGCTTTATGTCCCCTGTGCCTGGCGCAGTACTTGCATTGACACATGACAGGTGCTTCTTTGTCCCGACACTGGACAAATTCAGCTGTAGAAAGGGTTGAGTCAGAAGGTTCTCCTGCTAAACCAGAAAGGCCAGGGATATGGGGACCAGTTGCCCAGGACAGACATAATTAAAATAAAGTTTTAGTGAATAGTGGAGTATTCAGCATGTTTTCTTCTGTCTTGGGGTTTGCTCGTGACTGGCGCTTAACAACGGAGGAACAAGTAAATGGACCCCAGGGGAGCACCGCGGTCCCCTCCGGCAGCACTCCAGGCTCAAAGAGCTGCGGTGGGGACTCCGAGGGAGATAGTAGCAGACACCCCCCCCCCCACCGCCCAAGGCAGCCCCTGGATGCCCATGTGAGTCGTGGGAGGGACTGAGATATTCGGAAGCCCCTGGGTTTCTTTTGCTCGGGATCTCCTAGCCCAGAAGGAGAGGCAGACCTGGAGTCCCCGATGCACTCCCCTCCTGGAAGGGCGACTTGGCCAGAGAGAGGAGGATGCATGGATCTTCCCCGGCAGGGTCCAAGATGCAGGCGACACGCATGCCCTAGGGACTGTGAACATGTCCTCGCCAAGAGCCCCCTTTCCAAGAGAGGAAGCGAACTCCAAGTCTCCGCTTGCAAACACAGGGGAGCAGGTGCCCAGATCCCTCCCGGCCCTTCTCCTGCAGGTTCGCAGACTACCTCTTTCTGGGAGGAAATATCTCTCCCCCTTCCTTCCCACCCCCATTCGGCTGGTGTGGGCTGAAGGCTGAAGGTAGGGTCTCTTGGCGGCCAGTGTCCGCGGATCTCCTGGTCGCCAGCCAAAAGCATGCGGCCCGCGGGCCCCAGCTTCGGGTCTGCCTGCGCTATGAGCGAGGAGGGCAGGAGGAGGAGGCAGGCACTTCGAAGCTCTCCGAATATTCGTCTCCTAATTTCCTGACTCGAGCCAACCACCGTCAGTGCGCTTAATGGCGCGTCTGGCCGGATGGCCGGCTCTTTGGAGGGGCAGACACAGTGACCATCCGCAATAAATCTTGACTAACGAATAAGCAAATCGACCGTCTTAATGAGGAAGGCCCACGGTTGTCGCCAGAACGTAGTATCGATTAGCTTTCCCCGGCGCCACTCTCAGCCGCTGCTCTCGGCGTGTCCAAGCTTCGTTCCTCATTTTCTCCCCGTGGCGGGATCCACTGGGGGCGGGAGCGCGAACCCTGGGCTGGAGCCGGGAGCAACGGTAGGAGTCGGAGGGCACCAGTCGCCTCCGCGCTCCCTGGACTCCTCCCGCCGCGAAGGAGGCGCACCAACCGCGCGGGGCGCGAACGGCGCCGGGGCGAAAAATGCGCGAACAGCGCGACGCGGGGAAAAAAGCGCGGGCCCACTTTCCAGCCCCGGTGCCTGGTTTTCTAGTTTATTCCGGCCTCTCCCATTCGGCCAGGTTACTGTGTCCCGGGCCTGGGGCCTGAGTCCTGGTCATCAGGTCGTTTCCCGGGCCAGGGTGCGTTCCATTTTTCTGCACGCCGGGGGCGCCAGCCTCGAGCACAGCGCCCCCCGCCACCCGCGCCGCCGCTCCCTCAGTCCCCAGGCGGTTTGCTCCCTCGAGGCGCCCCAGCTGGGTCCAGGGGTGCTGCTCTTTAGAGCCGGTGATTGGGCCGCCGAGAGGGACAAGGAGGGTAGGGAGAACATGCTCTTACAATTGCAGTAATTAATTTTAAGGGATTGTTACTTAGAGTGAATGAAAATAACCTGGACGCATGGCTGAGGAGGCGTCGCGTCCCCCGCCCGAGCCCAGCGCCCTTTAGCCGAGTCTGGAGGGCTGCAGAGCGAGCCACATCGCGTGCCGCCCAGTCTTTATTTCACCATTTTCCAGGCGCCCCAGCTAGGGCCGGGTGGGGGGCGCACACGTATTTTGGGGGAGGGAGAGGTGAGTTGCAGAGTGTAACAGAGAAGAGGGTTCATCCTCCGGGTTCAGGGATGGTTTGGGGGAAGGTGAAGTCACCTCCTAGTTTTGGGGGCCCAGTGCCGGGTGGGGGGGCAGCCGCGTTAGCCAGTCCCCCCTCCTCCTCCGCCCCTCTCCGCAAACACCCTGAAGGAATGAGGTCACGTGGATGAGTAGTGGGCGGGACCTACTCTTGTCTGGAGGAAAAAAAGCCATTTTGTCCCCCCCCAGCCCCGGTCCCTCCCCTCCCCCCTCCGTCCCCTCCCCTCCCCTCTCTCCCTCCCACCCCAATCCGCTTTCACAAACTCCTTTCTTACCGTAGGTTTCTCCCCTCCCGGTGCCAGAGCGAGCGACGCGGCTGGGGTCCCCCTCCCCTCCCTTCCCTCCCTCCCTCCCATCCCCCCTCCCCGAGACCCACCGGACCCCGAACCCAGGTAAGCGGACGCAGATTGCCCTTTCCTTTCCTCCTACTACCCCGTAACCGTCTGGGGATTGGGATGAGGGGCCGGTGCAGCCTCTTTACACATCCCTGTGGGAGGAGGAGGCTCCGAGCCGGGCCTGCTGCTCGCGTCTGCGCCCCACCCCCGCCGGCCCCGATCTACCTCGCCGGGTCCGCCTTCCTTTCTCCCTTTTTTCTCTCCCCTTTTCCCTTCTTTCCCTTCCAAGATGGCCGAAGTGGATTCCCCTTTTAACGACTTGGCGTCTCCCTCGACCACCACCTCTTTGTGCCTCAGCCCCCTCCTCGACCTGCTCCCGAGGTAGCGAGGGGGAGGGCCCGAGGCAGCCACAAAGGCTTTGGGGCTCCATGCTGGGTGAATCTCTGCCTCCCTAGTCCTCAGAGCAGCCCTGGCTTTACC